GACCCCCTCCCCGTGCCAGGTCCTGCTCCTTCAGGTGTCTCTCAGGTAGACCCCCCCGCGCCTGCGCCTGTTGAGGTCACTGGTGACTCCAGTCCTGCTGGGAGTGGTGCTGTCCCTGGGGGTGCGGAGCTTGGGGGTGCTGAGTCTGGGGGCGCTGAGCGTGTGGAGCCTGGAGGTGCCTCGTCTCGGGGTACTGCGTCTGGAGGTGCTGCGTCTGGGGGTGCTGAGCCTGTGTGTGCTGAGCCTGGGAGTGCTGCGTCTGGGGGTGAGTTGCCTGAGGGTTCTGAGACTGCTGTTACGCGGTCTCCTTGGAGTAGCCGTCTTCGTCCGCGTGTGCCCCTCACCTCCCAGCAGCTGCACGACTGGTACGGTCGCCGTCGGCTTCCTACTTCTGCACCTCAGGGCTCTCCTACTGGTGGTTCTTCTCCTGGTGTCGCTGGTCCTGGAGGTGCTCGTACTGGGAGTACTGGAGCTGCTGGGGCTGGTGGTGGTGCTGCTGGAGGTCCTGGAGGTGCTGGAGCTGCTGGAGCTGCTGGAGGTGCTGGAGCCGCTGGAGGTGCTGGAGCTGCTGGGGGTGCTGGAGCTGCTGGAGGTGCTGGAGCTGCTGGTGGCACTGCTCAGCCGCGCCTGTTCTTTGCTCCGCCGTCTCCGTCGTCTCAGCCACCACCTGACTCTGCACTTCGCCAGGTTCTCAGTCTTCCCTCGTCTACTGGTCTTCCGTTACAGCCTGGCTCACCGCTGCCTGCTCCTTCTCCGTACACAGAGAAGCCTGGTGGCTTTGCAGAGCGTCGTGAGCCTGTGTCGCGGCCTGTCTCCCCTGTCAGTTCCGGTCGTCGTGTTCCTCGTCAGTGCCAGCCGGCTATCTCCGGCCCTCCCCTTGTAGTTCGTCGTCCTTCTTCTCCTTCCCCGCGTGTTCCTCTGCCGCCTCCCCCTGCGTCCTCTCTGCCTGTCGTTGCTGACCCTGCGTCTGACCGGTTTCGTGCTGAGCACTCTACTGTCACGCGTCTGCTTGCAACTGTTGTCACTGACCCGTCGTTTGAGTCTGCTGTTGCGTCTGCCTTAGTCACTGAGCTTGTTGCCTTTGCTGCTCACTGTCGTCTAGACTACGCCGCCAGTCTTGTTGCTGAGTCTACGTCTGTCTGTCCTCCGTCCGTCGGGGGTGAGTGTGCTCTTAGCACGGACGTCATTGAGGACAGGCAGGAGGACCTTGAGTGTCTTGCAGCTGCTGCGCCTCATCTCGTATCCATGCTGCTTGCCCCTGAGGGAGACCCGGATGCACCAGACATCCCTACCCCGCGCTCTTACGCTGAGGCGATCGCGGGTGAGTACTCCTCTCAGTGGCAGACAGCCATGGACGCAGAGATGGCATCCTGGAAGTCCACAGGCACCTACGTCGACGAGGTTCCCCCTCCTGGGGCGAACATTGTCAGTGGCATGTGGATTTTCAGGGTGAAGCGGCCGCCAGGTTCTCCGCCTGTCTTCAAGGCTCGTTACGTGGCTCGAGGCTTCAGTCAGCGAGAGGGAGTTGACTTCTTCCAGACCTTCTCCCCCACCCCGAAGATGACCACTCTTCGGGTGCTGCTGCACGTTGCCGCTCAGCGTGACTACGAGCTTCACTCTCTTGACTTCAGCACAGCCTTCTTACAGGGCAGCCTGCACGAGGAGATTTGGCTGCGCCGCCCTCCTGGCTTCACTGGGTCGTTCCCTCCTGGTACCCAGTGGAGCCTCCGGCGGCCGGTCTACGGTCTCCGCCAGGCGCCACGTGAGTGGCACGACACACTGAGGACGACACTTGCGGCTCTTGGGTTTGCTCCGTCGACTGCTGACCCGTCGCTGTTTTTGCGCACCGACACTTCGCTGCCGCCGCTCTACGTTCTCGTGTACGTCGACGACTTGGTCTTTGCCACTGCTGACACTGAGGCTCTCGCCCTGGTGAAGTCGGAGCTGCAGAAGAGACACACGTGCACAGACCTGGGTGAACTGCGCAGCTACCTTGGCTTGCAGATCACCCGGGACAGAGCACGCCGCACCATCACACTGACTCAGTCACACATGGTGCAGCAGGTCCTTCAGCGCTTCGGTTTCACCTGGTCCTCAGCACAGGCCACTCCTCTGGCTACAGGTCACTCGCTCTCAGCTCCACCTTGGGACGAGTCCGTAGAGTCGAGTGGTCCTTACCCAGAGTTAGTGGGCTGCCTCATGTACCTGATGACTTGCACTCGTCCTGACCTTGCGTACCCTCTTGGCCTTCTGGCTCGCTACGTGGCTCCTGGTCGGCACCGAAAGGTGCACATGGATGCTGCCAAGAGGGTACTACGCTACTTGTGCAGTACATCGGGCATGGGGCTCGTGCTTGGAGGACGGGGTGACGTTGTCCTCACTGGTCACTCGGACGCTTCTTGGTTTACGACCAGGCTACGCAGCGGTCGTCACAGGGTTACACCTTCAGCCTTGGCTCTGGTTCAGTTTCTTGGCGTTCTACACGCTCGTCTTCAGTTCTCGGCTCCAGTTGTGAGGCTGAGATCTACGCCACAGCCATGGCTGCACAGGAGCTTCGCTGGCTCACCTACCTGCTGACTGACTTGGGAGAGCGGCCTCGTTCTCCTCCAGTGCTGTACGTCGACAACAAGGCCGCCATTGCCTTGTGTCAAGAGCACAGACTGGAGCACAGAACGAAGCACATCGCTCTCCGTTACTTTCTTGCTCGAGAGCTGCAGCAGCGTGGCCAGCTTCGTCTTACCTACGTGGCCACTCGGGCCAACACTGCTGATATATTCACCAAGGCACTTCCGCCTGGTGATCATCAGCGTTTCTGCACTTTGTTAGGCCTTGTGCCCACTCTTCCTCACTTGTTGTAGGCTTTGTTTGTACCATGGTTTATATGTATTTCAGCATGCTTGTTCTTGTAGGTAGATTTCACTGTACTGTTGTTGTTACATATATATCTCTGCATGTGAACTGGCCTTGTGGCCTTCTTGCTTGTGCTCAGACTGCGTGGTGACGTTGTGATCCACCCTGAGCTTGCTTTGCACTTCCTGACTGGTCTTGTGACCCTCTGTTCTCCCCCACTCTGCCTATGGGGGTGTGTCAAACATATGGATATCTATGTTATATTTTGGGTAGGCTTAGTGGGGTACACACTGTGGGGTACAACCCCTTTGGTTCATTTTTCCTTGTACCAACCTTCTCGATAGTCGACATCACTCATGCCTAGCTTCTAAGAACAAAATGGCGGTACGTGTCTTAGTTCGTGATGCTCGTTTTGTCGGTTGTTGTTGTTGTAGCGCCGTTGAGTGTGAAAGGCGATCTATGGTGCTGATGCCATTTTCTTGTGACGTTCTTCGTATAGGTCCATATACTTTTGCTTGGCGTGAATTTCGGCGCAGAGATTTGCTTCATAGATTCTTTCGTGGGCTCAGAGAATGGCTCGAGTGGTTGAGGTTGAGGTTGAGTGAAGGTCAAAGGTTAGCGACCTTGACTCGCCGAAAAGCAGCGCGACGGCAAGGACACATAACTGACTCTCTATTGAGCAGTTACCCGAGTCGTCACTGTATCGAATCGCAATAGCAGTTACAGTTAGTAGAACATTTCAAATTCTTTTGTGATCATATGAAGCTTTGTATATCTCTGCTATTATCAACTTATCTTGTTCTCACATACCAGTGCAATGTGGTTCAATTAGTTCACTATTACGCTTCCGCTAATACATCACTACTCCGAGAATTTAGTCTTGAAAACGATCCTAAGGGCTTTTCTCAGCCCAACAGGAGACAGGGGTGGGTGGAGGAGGGGAGGAGGCGTGGGAAGGAGGTTATGTAGGCTTGTGCCGGCCGGTATATAGCTTTGACAGACATCAGTGTTTGTGGGGGCACCAGCTGCAGCACAGCTGCTGGCACAACGATGAGTTGGTTGGTCTGGCTGTGTTTGGAAAAGCATGTGGTACTACCAGGTAGGAAATCAGCCAGCCACTCATTGATTGGTGCATTTTGACTGTCACAGGAGCTGGATTTTAGCTACACGAATAAAGCCTAAACAGGTCTTACCATCTAAAATACATCTAGCAGGTAGACTGGACAAGAAACAAGTTGAACAGATTGGGGTGTGACATGGGGGATGGTAGTGGCTGTCAATTGGTTGGTTTTGCTGAAATTTATGCTAACAATCTACACCAGACCCATATTTGATAAACAAATGGTGACGTGGAACATCTATATGTCGGCTCATTGACGTGGCGGCAGCTCGGGCTTGCGCGTCTCCGTTTCGCTGGATTCTTGTTCCCAAGCCTGGCTCCTCAAGAATTCCAGCCACACAAGACAACAAGGGAGCTCTTGGGACAAGCAACTGCTGCCCGTGCGTAATCCCTGAAATTCGTTGACCAATCGGATGCCCACTAGCTTCATTTGCTGGCTTCGCTGACCCTTGCGGTCATGCTGGGATATTCATGTTGCCACGCGGCGTTGTCTGACAAGCGGCTCCGCAATTTACCCAGGAGGGGGGAGTGGCCATGCCATGTCGACCTTCAGGAATTTGCTAACGCAGGCATTCGGGCACCATTGATGTTCGATCAAAAGCCGCAACTGGGCAGCCCGAAGCGTGCTACCAGACCGTGTGAAGCCATGATGTTTGAATTGAAACCTGCCCCAGAAAGTAATCTCGACGCCACGTCCTCCTCTGACTCCTCGCTTCCCCTCACTGCATTTGCTTCCCACTTTTCCCATCACGCTTTTCTAAAGATCGAAACCCATTCGACATAATCCTTCCTTCTCAAGTTTGTGACTCGATTGTCGAGGTTTCTGCCAGTAACTCTTTCGGCTCAAGCTTTGTCCTTGTGCTCCGCATCCTCGGAGCTTACCTTACGTGGTGTCAGTGAAAGGATTAGTTTGCAAAGAGAGGTAAGCACCGAAGGTTTTCCAAAAGAGGCTGTGCTGAAACCTTCTAGTGAAATGTTCACCGTGGCTTCACGCCAATTAATTCTCCTCCACCGTCGCAGCCGCGCAGCGATGGCAGTCGCCTCATCAGCTGCGACCACGACGGCGATCGCTTCACGGGGAGCGTCCGTCGCATCACGTGGCCTTTCCCGCGCCGCCACCTCCATAGAAGCCACTCAGGCAGCGATGCTGTCCGCAAGCAACGCCGTTTCCCACGGCGCGCACGCTCCCGGATCTTTCACCTGCATGCAATGGTCGTCGACGCTCAGAAGCCAATCAGGACGGGCGAGTCCCTTCTCTAGTTCATCTTTCTTCTCAGGCGGTCTCGCTCGGGACTCGCTGCTGTCATCGTCGCATCCAGTCGGAGCCGCGTCGCGTCTCGCGTCTACCTTCTCCGCGCACGCATCCTCTTCCGACTCCGCCGCGAGCGCAAGTCCTATCGGTTCCGCCTCCGCCCCCCGCTCCGCTGTCGCTGGCGCAACTCCCGCTGTCCGCCAGGGCGCAGTGTTGCCGACGTCGGAGTACACTCTTGACGATTCGTCCGAATCCTCGTCATCCGATTCCGAATCTGACGGCTCTGGTTCACGCGCGCTCGAGGCGCTGTACGAGGCGCGTGCGAAGAGTGGACTGTCTGCCTCTGTCGGCGGAGCATCTGCGGGTTCAGGGGTTGAGCGGGGGTTTCCTCGGGGTTTAACATCCGATTCGGAAGCGGAGGTTTTTGATAGCGACGATGAAGCGAGCAGCGACGAGGAGGGTGAGGTGGTGCTGGTTGACGTGTCCGATACTGACGTGGACAGGGATGAGCTGGCGATCGAAAGCCTCGGCCTCGCGACGATTCTTGAGCAATCGCTGCTGAAGCGAGGAATCGCACGGCTCTTCCCCATTCAGGTATGAGGCATTGTATCAAGATCGTTTGAATCGAGTCAAATGTTTAGCTTGGTCCAGGTTCCCCGTCTCAGGTTGGATTGTTGCATTCTTTTTACTATGCCCGTTGCTTGTTTGCTTTTCTTCCAGTTGCGACTGTGAGGGTTTGAAAGTTTTGAGGATAAGCTGGTGGCTGATAATGTGCTGTCCGTAAATTTTCGTGGCTCCTGTCGGGGTGCTCGATAGTGCGCTTGATACGAACTCCCCTTAACTCCTTCCACCCCCCAACCCCCCTCAGCACCCCTTTGTCCTTGTGCTCCGCCAATCGCAGCGCGCGGTGCTGGTGCCGTGGTCGGAGGGCGCGACACGCCTGTGTCCATTTGAATCTAACATGTACCTCTCCTCATCCCCCTTCCTCCACCCCCCCTCTCTTCCCTCCCCCTCCCTCCCCTCCCCCCACCCCCTGTGCTCCGCCAATGACAGCACGCGGTGCTGGCGCCGTCAATGGAGGGGCGCGACATCATCGCGCGTGCCAAGACGGGCACGGGGAAGACGCTAGCGTTTGGAATCCCCATCTTGGAGCGCATCACGCGGGAGATCGAGGAGAACAACGGAAGGTGCGTGTCGTGATGCGCTTTAGTTGTTAAGTTGTTCTTTTTATGGACGTCTTGAGGCGACAGGTCTTGTTTTGAGATGTCTTTAGGCGCTGTGAGGGTTTTTGTTTGTTTGTTTTTTTTTTTTTTGTGTGAAGACGGCTGTTTTCGTTCCGAGGCGACTTACGGGTATAGTGAACAATGAGTTTGACGCGACTGGAAATTGAGGCTGAAACTGCCTTTTAAGGCTGTCTCGTATCAGACTGCAAGCTGATTTTTTTATTCGGAGCACTGCAAGTAAATGAAGAGGAAGCGAATGCGTGAGAGCTGTTGCAACAATGAATCAGCTGTCGAGCTGTGAATGAACTCGAATAAAGAGGATGACCATCCCCTCCGCTTCTCTCTCAAACCTCCCACCAACCTGCGGTACCTTCTCCCGCCTCCCTCCCCGCCCCCCCCTCCCCCCCCCTCCCCCCCCCCCTTTTTCCCGCCCGCAGGCGCCCGTTCCGCGCGCCCCGCTGCCTGGTCCTCGCGCCGACGCGCGAGCTAGCCAAGCAGGTCGAGCGCGAGTTCTGCGAGTCGGCGCCGAACCTCTCCACGGCGTGCGTGTACGGCGGAGTCTCCATCGACGGGCAGATGCGCCAACTCAAGCGCGGCGTCGACGTGGTCGTGGGCACGCCTGGGCGCCTGATAGATCTGATTGAGCGCGGCACGCTCAGCCTGCGGGAGATTCAGTTCATGGTGCTGGACGAGGCGGATCAGATGCTGGCCGTTGGATTCGAGGAGGATGTGGAGCGGATCATGGAGAATCTGCCCGAGGGGGGGCGCATTCAGATGAGCCTGTTCTCGGCGACCATGCCGTCCTGGGTCAAGAAGCTCAGCCGCAAATACCTCACCAGCCCGCTCACAATCGACTTGGTGAGCCCCGTCTCCCTTCTCCTCCTCCTTTCCTTACCCCCCTGTCAGTGTGAGGGAGTGGGAGTGTGAGGGAGGGAGTGAGAGGTAGTGAGTGTGAAGGAGCGTGAGGGAGCGAATGTAAGTGTGAGTGTGAGGGAGATTGAGTTCATGGTGCTGGACGAGGCGGATCAGATGCTGGCGGTGGGGTTCGAGGAGAATGTGGAGGATGCGGAGAGGGTATTCGCTTGCTGTTCGTGATCGCCCTCTTTGCATTGTGCCACTGCTTACTCCGTCACTCACCCTCCCTTCTCTCCTCTTTTCCCTAACTGACTCCCCTTCCCACATACTCACTCACAGGTGGACGAGCAGGAGGAAAAGCTCGCGGACTTCATTCGCCTGCTGTGCATGCGCGCCCTCTTTGCATTGTGCGCTCTTTACCTCGCCACTCACCTCCCTTCCCCTGTCCCCAACCCCTCCCATGCACCCATTCCCCTCCCATGCACCCATTCCCCTCCCATGCACCCATTCCCCTCCCATGCACCCATTCCCCTCCCATGCACCCATTCCCCTCCCATGCACCCATTCCCCTCCCATGCACCCATTCCCCTCCCATGCACCCATTCCCCTCCCATGCACCCATTCCCCTCCCATGCACCCATTCCCCTCCCATGCACCCATTCCCCTCCCATGCACCCATTCCCCTCCCATGCACCCATTCCCCTCCCATGCACCCATTCCCCTCCCATGCACCCATTCCCCTCCCATGCACCCATTCCCCTCCCATGCACCCATTCCCCTCCCATGCACCCATTCCCCTCCCATGCACCCATTCCCCTCCCATGCACCCATTCCCCTCCCATGCACCCATTCCCCTCCCATGCACCCATTCCCCTCCCATGCACCCATTCCCCTCCCATGCACCCATTCCCCTCCCATGCACCCATTCCCCTCCCATGCACCCATTCCCCTCCCATGCACCCATTCCCCTCCCATGCACCCATTCCCCTCCCATGCACCCATTCCCCTCCCATGCACCCATTCCCCTCCCATGCACCCATTCCCCTCCCATGCACCCATTCCCCTCCCATGCACCCATTCCCCTCCCATGCACCCATTCCCCTCCCATGCACCCATTCCCCTCCCATGCACCCATTCCCCTCCCATGCACCCATTCCCCTCCCATGCACCCATTCCCCTCCCATGCACCCATTCCCCTCCCATGCACCCATTCCCCTCCCATGCACCCATTCCCCTCCCATGCACCCATTCCCCTCCCATGCACCCATTCCCCTCCCATGCACCCATTCCCCTCCCATGCACCCATTCCCCTCCCATGCACCCATTCCCCTCCCATGCACCCATTCCCCTCCCATGCACCCATTCCCCTCCCATGCACCCATTCCCCTCCCATGCACCCATTCCCCTCCCATGCACCCATTCCCCTCCCATGCACCCATTCCCCTCCCATGCACCCATTCCCCTCCCATGCACCCATTCCCCTCCCATGCACCCATTCCCCTCCCATGCACCCATTCCCCTCCCATGCACCCATTCCCCTCCCATGCACCCATTCCCCTCCCATGCACCCATTCCCCTCCCATGCACCCATTCCCCTCCCATGCACCCATTCCCCTCCCATGCACCCATTCCCCTCCCATGCACCCATTCCCCTCCCATGCACCCATTCCCCTCCCATGCACCCATTCCCCTCCCATGCACCCATTCCCCTCCCATGCACCCATTCCCCTCCCATGCACCCATTCCCCTCCCATGCACCCATTCCCCTCCCATGCACCCATTCCCCTCCCATGCACCCATTCCCCTCCCATGCACCCATTCCCCTCCCATGCACCCATTCCCCTCCCATGCACCCATTCCCCTCCCATGCACCCATTCCCCTCCCATGCACCCATTCCCCTCCCATGCACCCATTCCCCTCCCATGCACCCATTCCCCTCCCATGCACCCATTCCCCTCCCATGCACCCATTCCCCTCCCATGCACCCATTCCCCTCCCATGCACCCATTCCCCTCCCATGCACCCATTCCCCTCCCATGCACCCATTCCCCTCCCATGCACCCATTCCCCTCCCATGCACCCATTCCCCTCTGCATGTGACTCACAGGCGGGCGAGAAGGAGGAGAAGCTCGCGGACGGCATTCGCCTGCTGAGCGTGCGCGCGCCCCTCTTTGCATTGGACCACTGCTTACCCCGCCACTCACCCTCCCTTGCCCCTCCTTCCTCCTCTCTTTCATGACTCACAGGTGGGCGAGAAGGAGGAGAAACTCGCGGAGGGAATTCGCCTGCTGTGCGTGCGCGCGCCCAATGCATCAAAGCGCTCCATTCTTGTCGACCTCATCACGGTATGCGTTCTGAGGGCGGGAACTGTGACAAAACGCGTTAGCTGGGGGTACAGTTGGTTAGGTAGGATGAGTCCGCGCTGACTGTTCTCTCTTCCTAGCGGCTAATGACAGAAGTGACCTAAAGTTAGTGCGCACTCTATGGTGTTTCTTGCTCTTCTGTGTGCGCGTGTAAGCGCCCAACAAGAAGATCCCTCGTAATGTGCAACGAAATAAAAAAAAACAAGCGTGCAGATGAACTGCCGATGTAATCCCATTGCTCATGCACACACCTTTGGCACCACCACAACCAATGTTTTCAAGTGATGCCCCTTCCCAACTCCTTGCTCACCTCTTTATCCAGGTCCACTCTTTGGGCGGCAAGACGATTGTCTTTACTCAAACCAAGAAGGACGCGGACGAGGTCGCCATGGCGCTGCTGGTGATGACCTGAACCCGTGTCCCGCCCTCTTTCCACTGTTGTCATTCCCTCATGCTACACAGGTCCACGCTTTGGGCGGCAAGACGATTGTCTTCACTCAAACCAAGAAGGACGCGGACGAGGTGGCCATGGCGCTGGGTCGCTCGGTGGGCTGTGAGGCGCTCCATGGGGACATCCCCCAGCAGCAGAGGGAGCGCACCCTGCAGGCCTTCAGGGACGGGCGATTCGTGGTGCTCGTTGCCACGGATGTGGCGGCTAGAGGGCTCGATATCCCCAACGTCGACCTGGTGAGTTGAAGGGGGGAATGGGGGGAATGCGCTGGGTCGGTGGGTGGGCTGTGAGGCGCTCCACGTAGACATCCCGCAGCAGCAGCGCGAGCGCACGGTGCAGGCGTTCCGAGATGGGCGATTTGTTGTGCTGGTTGCCGCGGACGTTGCTGCCAGAGGGCTCGATATTCCCAAGGTCGATCTGGTGAGTGTGGGAGCTGTTTTGAGACGTCTCAAAACAATTCCCAAGGTCGATCTGGTGAGTGTGGGAGCTGTTTTGAGACGTCTCAAAACAATTCCCAAGGTCGATCTGGTGAGTGTGGGAGCTGTTTTGAGACGTCTCAAAACAATTCCCAAGGTCGATCTGGTGAGTGTGGGAGCTGTTTTGAGACGTCTCAAAACAATTCCCAAGGTCGATCTGGTGAGTGTGGGAGCTGTTTTGAGACGTTTCAAAACAATTCCCAAGGTCGATCTGGTGAGTGTGGGAGCTGCCTCAGCAGAAGGAGCAGCAGAGGGGCGTTCAGGGACGGGCGATTTGAGGTGCTGGTTGCTACTGATGTTGCTGCCCGAGGGTTGGATATTCTTATCGGTTGATGACCTGGTGAGTGTTGACGGTTTCATAACCTGAAAAAGACTGATTGTTTATGAACCCTAAATTCACTGTGGAGAATTCTCAAACCTGAGTTTGGGTGGTTTTACAGTGGTTTTATAGCCTGCGAAAGGACAGTGTTTTTATATGAACCGCAGAGGAACCATGGTTGACAAGCTTAATAGGAGTTGATACTCTCTAGAAGTGGCTCCTTGTGAAAAATACAGCACATAAGTGTCTGCGGCTTGGGATCGTTGTCATTCCTGTCCTCCTGCTTCCTCCTCCCCCCCGCCCTACCTTCCCCTGGGCTCGCGTTTCTCAATGATTCTCTATGAGATCCCCAACGACCCCGAGACGTTTGTTCTATCAAACCGACCACTCACTCCCTCCTTCCTTCCACATTCCAATTCTTGCTCCTCTCCCTCCCTCCCCTCATCCCCCCCTTCTCCCCTCCCCTCCTCTTCACTTCAGGTGATTCGCTACAAGATCCCCAACGACCCTGGGACGTTTGTGCATCGGCTGCTCACACCCCTCCTCCTCCGCCTCCTCTCTCGCCCCCCCTACTCTCGTCTTCCTCTTCCCCTTACCCCCCTCTCCCCCCCCTCAGGTGATTCACTACGAGATCCCCAACGACCCTGAGACGTTTGTGCATCGGTCGGGGCGAACGGGGCGAGCGGGCAAGACTGGGTGCACCATCCTCATGTACACGGACTCGCAGGTGTGTTACTGAAAGATGTGTGACACTAACGGATGTGAGTGTGGCATGTGTGGGAGGTGTTTGCACCATCCTCATGTACACTGATTCGCAGGTGTGTATATTTGTGATTACTAAGGATTGAGACGTCTCAAAACTATTTGTGATTACTAAGGATGTGACTGTACAATGTGATGATGCACCATCCTCATGTACACTGATTCGCAGGTGTGTTTGAGTGTGTGATTGTGAAACATGTGAGTGTGTGTGTGATGGTGAAACATGTGAGTGTGTGTGTGATGGTGAAACATGTGAGTGTGTGTGTGATGGTGAAACATGTGAGTGTGCAAGGACTGTAGTCGAATGGAGCCCCAGATAGGAGCCATGTCTTTACGTGGCTGCGACTGATTCAACTGTAAAAGTTGTTGTTAGTTAAAAAGTTTGCTTGAAATCTCTTGTAGAGAAAATTCTTGGCGGTTGAATCAGTCGCTGCCACGTAAAGACATGGCTCCTATCTGGGGCTCCATTGGACTCGTGAAACATGTGAGTGTGTAAGGACTGTAGTCGACCCAAAAGCCTTCGAGCATCGGACGGGGCGAGCTGGCAAGACCAGATGCACCATCCTCATGTACACTGATTCGAATGTATGTGATGCTAACGGATGTGACTATGGCGTGTGCTTGTAAAGTTGCAACGATGTACTACAAGCTCCTGCCAATCGGTCTGCCGCCCTCATCCCCCGCCATGCCTCTTCCCTCCCCATCCCTCTCCCTCCCCCACCCCTCCTCGCTCTTTATTCAAGCTTAGCCAGTGTCAGGGACTGTGAAGTGGGATTGATCCCTCTTTGCTCACATTTCCTAACCTTTCTCCTCTCCCTCTCGCTCTCCCAACCAGCTCCGTTCCCTGCGCATGATCGAGAGGGACATCGGCTGCAAGTTTGGAAGGGCCTTCCGCCCAACCCCGACGACGTGCTCCAAGCCTCCGCCAACGTATCTGCTGCCCTCATCTCTCGCGCCCTCCAACGATGTTTCTCTCACCTGTGTTGAACCTTAATATTGAGCCGTTCTTTCTCCTCTTCCCCTCCCCCACCTCCTTCCCCTCCCCCCTCCCTTTCCCCTCAGCTCCGTTCCCTACGCATGATTGAGCGTGATATCGGCTGCAAGTTTGAGAAGGCCTCCCCTCCCCACCCCGACGACGTCCTCCAAGCCTCCGCCAACCAGTCAGCCGCCCTCATCTCCCGCGTCCACCCTGAACTCGCGGAGTCCTTCCTGGAAACTGCCGAGAAGCTTCTCGAGGAGCGCGGCCCGATGGCACTAGCTGCCGCGATCGCCCACCTGAGCGGGTTCAGCCAGCCGCCCGCCGCCCGGTCGCTGCTGACTCACGAGGAGGGGTATGTGACGGTGCGCGTGATCCGCACGGCCAAGAGCCGCAACGGCCCGCTGATTTCCCCGCGGGCGGTGATGGGGACTCTCGGGGAGATCTGCCGCCGCGCTGCTGACAACGTGGGGAAGATCAAGATTCTGGGCGAGCGAGACGTGAGTTTGTGGGTTTGGAGGGACTGGGGGAGGGGGGTGAGTGGCTAGTGTGTGGGCTTACAGGGGGGAGTGGCTGATCTCCCCGCGGGCGGTGATGGGGACTCTCGGGGAGATCTGCCGTCGCGCTGCTGACAATGTTGGAAAGATCAAGATTATGGGCGAGCGAGATGTGAGTTTGTGGGTTTTGGGGGACTGGGGGATGGGGATGGATGGATCATGTGTCGTCTGCGATGGGCTATGTGTGTATGCTTACTTGTGGGAGTGGCTGATTTCCCCCCGGGCGGTCATGGGGCCAAGGAATTGCTGAGCTGAGCCTTGGTGTTGTTGCACCTGGAGCTTGGTCTTGCTGGACTCAACCACCCTCTCTCTCCCTCTCTTTCTCTCCCCTCTCCCATTCATCAGGTGGAGGGTGCAGTTTTTGATCTACCTGAAGATGTTGCTAAGGAGCTGCTGAGTCTCCAGATTGACAACGGGGACGTCTTTGACATCCCGCGCCAGGTGCGTGTGTGAGAGCTGTGCGGTGGGGTCTGCACTTTTCGCCTTGTCTTGTTGTCGGTGCAGAGTGAGAGCCCCCAGCCCCCAGATTGACAACGGGTGTTTGGAATGCAAGGGGACACTAGCACTCATGTTTCTCCTCCCTATCCCCCTGCGTTGTCTGCCTGCCTTGCCCACCCATCCCCTGTGTTGTCTGCCTGCCTTGCCCACCCATCCCCTGTGTTGTCTGCCTGCCTTGCCCACCCATCCCCTGTGTTGTCTGCCTGCCTTGCCCACCCATCCCCTGTGTTGTCTGCCTGCCTTGCCCACCCATCCCCTGTGTTGTCTGCCTGCCTTGCCCACCCATCCCCTGTGTTGTCTGCCTGCCTTGCCCACCCATCCCCTGTGTTGTCTGCCTGCCTTGCCCACCCATCCCCTGCGTTGTCTGCCTGCCTTGCCCACCCATCCCCTGCGTTGTCTGCCTGCCTTGCCCACCCATCCCCTGTGTTGTCTGCCTGCCTTGCCCACCCATCCCCTGTGTTGTCTGCCTGCCTTGCCCACCCATCCCCTGTGTTGTCTGCCTGCCTTGCCCACCCATCCCCTGTGTTGTCTGCCTGCCTTGCCCACCCATCCCCTGTGTTGTCTGCCTGCCTTGCCCACCCATCCCCTGTGTTGTCTGCCTGCCTTGCCCACCCATCCCCTGCGTTGTCTGCCTGCCTTGCCCACCCATCCCCTGCGTTGTCTGCCTGCCTTGCCCACCCATCCCCTGCGTTGTCTGCCTGCCTTGCCCACCCATCCCCTGCGTTGTCTGCCTGCCTTGCCCACCCATCCCCTGTGTTGTCTGCCTGCCTTGCCCACCCATCCCCTGTGTTGTCTGCCTGCCTTGCCCACCCATCCCCTGTGTTGTCTGCCTGCCTTGCCCACCCATCCCCTGTGTTGTCTGCCTGCCTTGCCCACCCATCCCCTGTGTTGTCTGCCTGCCTTGCCCACCCATCCCCTGCGTTGTCTGCCTGCCTTGCCCACCCATCCCCTGCGTTGTCTGCCTGCCTTGCCCACCCATCCCCTGTGTTGTCTGCCTGCCTTGCCCACCCATCCCCTGTGTTGTCTGCCTGCCTTGCCCACCCATCCCCTGTGTTGTCTGCCTGCCTTGCCCACCCATCCCCTGTGTTGTCTGCCTGCCTTGCCCACCCATCCCCTGTGTTGTCTGCCTGCCTTGCCCACCCATCCCCTGTGTTGTCTGCCTGCCTTGCCCACCCATCCCCTGTGTTGTCTGCCTGCCTTGCCCACCCATCCCCTGTGTTGTCTGCCTGCCTTGCCCACCCATCCCCTGTGTTGTCTGCCTGCCTTGCCCACCCATCCCCTGTGTTGTCTGCCTGCCTTGCCCACCCATCCCCTGTGTTGTCTGCCTGCCTTGCCCACCCATCCCCTGTGTTGTCTGCCTGCCTTGCCCACCCATCCCCTGTGTTGTCTGCCTGCCTTGCCCACCCATCCCCTGTGTTGTCTGCCTGCCTTGCCCACCCATCCCCTGTGTTGTCTGCCTGCCTTGCCCACCCATCCCCTGTGTTGTCTGCCTGCCTTGCCCACCCATCCCCTGTGTTGTCTGCCTGCCTTGCCCACCCATCCCCTGTGTTGTCTGCCTGCCTTGCCCACCCATCCCCTGTGTTGTCTGCCTGCCTTGCCCACCCATCCCCTGTGTTGTCTGCCTGCCTTGCCCACCCATCCCCTGTGTTGTCTGCCTGCCTTGCCCACCCATCCCCTGTGTTGTCTGCCTGCCTTGCCCACCCATCCCATGTGCCCCCATCTCTTCCACGTTCCCATGTGCCCCTCAGCTGCCCACGCTCGGGGATGATGATGTTCGCGACGGCGGCAGGGATAGAGACAACTACGGGCGCTTAGGATATCAAGAGACACCTGTGCTCATGTTTCTCTTGTTTACCTCATTGTGGTGCTTGCCTTGCCCTTCCACCCCTCAGCTGCCCACCCTCGTGGATGTTCGTGGCGGTGGCAGGGACAGGGACAACTACGGGCCCTTCGGAGCGAGGGGAGGGGACACCAGCACTTATGTTCCTCTTCCCTATCCTCCTGTGTTGTTTGCCTTGCCCATGTGCCCCTCAGCTGCCCACGTTGGTGGATGATGATGTGCGTGGCGGCGGCAGGGACAGGGACAACTACGGACGGTTTGGAGCAAGGGGAGGGGACAGGGGGAGGGGCGGAGGGGACAGGTTCTCCCGTGGTGGGGACAGGGACAGGGGGGGAAGGGGAGGGGACCGTGACAGGGGTTTCAGGCGCGATGACGGTGGCAGGAAAGAGAGGTGAGTTATGGATTTGTAATGCTTTGAGAGTATGTATGGGACGGTGCGGTATGGCATGGATGGATGACACAGATTCGGAATGGCCGGTGGCATTGGGATGGGATTGGCTGAGATGCCATGTGATGGGGAAAGATCCCCCCCCCTTTTTTTCATTAACACACAAGGACCAGCTAATGTCTCGTTGTTAATTGTTCGTGTCTCGTGATTGTTCCCACCTGTCTCTATCAGGTCTGGTAGCTGGGGCGACGTGGGTGACAGGCGCAGCAGCGGCAGCAGCAGTGGCGGTGGCAGCAGGTTCGGTGGCGACCGTGACCGATTCTCCTCTCGGGATCGCCGCCCGGCTGGCGGAGGTTTGGTTAACCGCCGCAATTTCACCTCTGACGCGTGGGAGAGCGAGGACAGCGATGGGTACTACACCCCATCCCCCTTAGAGCGCACCCGCAGTGCTCCCAGCAGGAGTGGTGGGGATTATGGGTCGTATGGTCGCGGGGGTGGAGGAGCAGGAGGTGGAGGGTTTTCGGGGGTTTGCTTCTTGTGCAAGCAACCCGGGCATAGGGCGGCAGATTGCCCTGTGGTGGCTGGTCGTTAGGTTTTTGATGCTTGAATGGCGTGGTTACTGAGATTTAAATTTACATTTAGAAAGCTTGCTTTCTTGTGTTTGCAATGGCAACGAGCTTCGTTTCAAATGGGCATTACATCATTCTTGTCCGGGATATATATGGTACCTACATTACACATGACAACATGCAATTTTTGCTAGGGTGGGTGGGTGGGAAATAAGACATTTGAAATTTCAAACGAAGACGTGGGTGGAGGCCAAATGGCCTCCACCCCCTGCTATATAGTTGGCGAAGAGCGTCTAGCACTTCGCCGTTGCCATTGCTGCATTACAAGCAGCTTCGCTTTCAAAATACACATTTTTAGAAAGTGTTACACACTTTCAAAAAATTTCATATTTAGGCTTGGATACGTTTGAACTTATGTGCTGGGATGGGTGAGAGTCTAGAATGGAGAACACTTCTATGCGTTTCAGGCCTTTCTTTAACTTAGGAATAATCTTTATACACATTAAATCAAGAATGATAAGTTCCACACTGCTGGGAATTGACATTAGACAGATCATTATCATAATTTGTTTGCAGCAATATAAGCAGCAGTAGCAGCAGCAACACGGTAGCAGAAGCTATCTTTCAAGCCTTCACACTCAATAAACTCCACATTCTAGACGTTAATGAAGTAACCCCCGTCTTCTCCCCGTCCTCTGTCACCTCGTCTCCTCGTGCTGCTCTCAAACGAGCAGCCTCCTGCTGGAAGACCAGCAGCACGTTCCTTGTGGCCAGCTGCAGCAGGCTGTGAAGACACCTCTTAAAAATGGCTGGCGGTGCCACTGACGGCTGGACAATCTGGCAGAGCACCAGACAGGAAGCCAGACGGAATCCGTCAGGTGCAGTCGGATTCGATTCGTCTGTATCCGTCTTTGAGTCTGACGCTTCGTCGGATTCGTCGCTGCTGGTGCTGCTTCGGTCGCTGCGGGTGCTACTGCCATCACTTGATTCTGAAGACTCACAACGGCGGAAGCTGGAATGATCTGGTGACTGTAACGCCACAGCAGACGATCCAGAAACAAGCAGAGGTTCGACTCTCCAAAATCCTTCAAATTTCCGCATGAAGCCTGGTCGAGTCAGGGCGAAGGTCATGGTGCGTTTTGGTCTATCCTGAACCATGCGCATGTGCGCGTCGAACGTGCCAGTAAAGAACGGCAGCTGAAATGAAAAAACCATGTCCATCTCGACCTCCTTCACCCCGTTACAGTCACGCACGACGTGGTGGTTTCGCACCGATTTGATGTTCTTGAACACGCGGCGATTGTAGGGGTCGCACACGAGGCTGAAGACGGCGTCGGGAGGAAACGCGACGGTTGCGGTGCCGTCTAGCTGGCAGAGCGCGTTTGGCCCGACTGTGACTGTCATGTCAGGTGCTTCTTCCTTCCAAATGGGATCAAGAAACCACGCTGATAGCTGGGTGCGCATGGCTTCCAAAGGGTCTTCGTTTAACGACGACGATAGTAGCATTGGAGAAGCTGAGGAGGTGAAGGTAACAGACTTTACAGTCATGATGTCGACGATGAGAAATGAACGATTTAGAGACAAAATAAGTTCGCTGGAAAAGATAGAGCAAACTTCGTTCTCCTGAGAACCTTCTGGGTAGTTGGGACGTCGTTAAATTCGACTTCGAGACCCTCGCATGCCAAGAAACTCAGAATCAGGCAGAGAAGCAGCAACTCAGAAACTTGGAAACCAAAGACATCTAGCTGCGAATGAAGGAACAAGCGACTTCTGAACCAACAAAAAAAAGTTCTCTAGGTTGTTTCGAGTCTTCGCCCACCTAACGTCTAGCCTGGTTCAGTGGGTTCCCACATGGTAGAAAGCGGTTTGATATCTTCACCGCCTTTGACCGTACTGAACAAGGCAAAACCGAAATGAAGGGCTGATTGACACCCTGCAATGAATAATGAATAACCCATTTCTCCCATCGAGGATTCCACGGTTGGTTGATCCGAAAGGCACTTTGTTCTAGCAGCTGATCCCACTCCAAGGTTCCTCTCAGGCGTGCGATTCAAATGTAGAATGGTGGTGAGCCGTGCGATAAGTCCAAAAATTTCCGCGTCGCGCAGAATGTTGGTGAATGCAGAATGGGGAATGCCGCGGCACGCGCTTTCAATAATTCGTCGAGTTCATACTTGTGATAACCCGCAGGAGTGGAATTTATTGTTTGGCTAATACCGGTACAACATTTTCTCACACACCAGATTCCATCATTTTAAATCCATGTTTCCGACTACTATCCCTGGATTTTCAACTAATGCTGTACAATAGACATTCAGCAGAACCATATGGCTATGCACAAAAACACACAAACCAAACTGACAGGTTGCTAGATTAACTGCATGTCACCTGTCGCAGGTATGAAAAACAGGGAAAGTAAAGTACTATTGTGGCTCATTGATGGCCCTCTTAATGAGTTCAGAAACAAGGACCGCAGGAGAGCAGCAAAGAAACAAGCTTCTCGTACTGGTAGCTGCCACTGTTCCGTGATGCTGCAGCACCACCTGCAGATGCACCAAATCTGAGAACGGCTCTCCCTGCTGCTCCTGCTGGCTTTGCTGCCCCTGCCGCCCTTGTTGCCCCTGCTCCTCCTCCTTCTGACTGTTACACCACTGCTGTTCCTCGTCCTGGCCTTGCTCCTGCTTTGGTCCCTGTTGAAATTCCTGCTCTTGCTGTTGCGACAACCCTCTATGCTCCCCAATCATACGGCTACGTCTGCCTCGCACCAGCCCTCCAGATGACTCAAGAACCCCATATCCGCCACCCACAAGCCTCAGCATCCGCTCAAGAACACTCTCTTCACCAGGCAGAAAATGACCTGTCAAACCATCCAGGCAAGCCGAATCAGCCCGACCAGCCACACTCCCATCGTCTGCCTGTGCAGGCCCCACAGCATCAGTAGCACCGCAGCGTTGGGGTGCCCCTGTCGGCATGGAATTGGATCGACTCTCCTCCACCAGTGCTCGTGCAAGCAGAGCAGCGCGGGGGCAGCGGATCGCCCTCGGCTGCATCTGCTCTAGCCGCAAGCCCCTTCCTGCACCTTCCTCGCCCTGGCTGCCAGGTGGCAGTGCGGGTGCCACGTGGACGGCTGATGCCAGCTCAGATGTTGTGGGCAGCTGCATGCAAAGACCGTGTGATGCTAATGATGGCTGCTGCTGTCCCCACTTCTGCTGCGTCCCAATGTCCCTTACTCCCCCCTCAAGCAGCTTCTTCCTTCCGACTCTACTCCCCCCCGCTCCCTTGCTGGACTCCCCTTCCTCTCCCTTCACCTCTCTTTCATTTCCGAATACCCTCTTTTGCCCTCTCTGCCCTCTCTGCTCTCTCTTCTCTCCTGTTTTTGCAGACCGCTTCTGCTTTCTCTGTACTGCTGCAGTGACCACCACCACCTCCTCCTCCTCCATCTCCTCATCCTCTCCCTCTTTTTCCTCCTCTTCCTCCATCCCCTCCTCCCCCTCCTCCACCTCCCCATCCTCCACCTCCTCCTTCTCCTCCTTATCCGCCTCTTGCTCAGAAGTTTCCTCCTCCCCCTCTAATTCTTGTTTCATTTTCCCTCCCTCCTCCTCCACCTCGTCCCTTTCCACTGACTCTTCCTCGTGTTTCACTCTTCCCCCGATTTCTTCCCCCACCTCCTCCTCCTCCTCCTCCTCCTCCTCCTCCTCCTCCTCCTCCTCCTCCTCCTCCTCCTCCTTCTCCCCGTCCTCTCTACAACTCCCCGCCACACTCACTCTCCCCCTCTCGGCACTCCTCTGGACAACAGCCACACCACTTTTACCGCCAACGCCCTGACTCCCACTTGTGCCTCCCACCATTGACTCTTCTCGTGTCCTTTTCTTGATAGCAGTGCCAACACGAGCAGCACCAGCAGCAGTATCAGCAGCAGCAGCAGCCATGGTGGTGGTGGTGGTGGTGGTGGTGGTGGTGGTAATATACAAGCCCTCACCACTACTGGTAGTAGCAGCACCAGCGTCAGCACCATTGGCAGCAGCAGCAGTGGTAGCATCAACACCATCAGGAGAAGCAAGGGAAAGAGAGGCGGAGGAGGAGAGGGGGCGACGGCGGTTGAAGACTTGTGCCTGGCGGCGAGAGATCTCCTTTATGCGCCTCTGGAACTGATGGGCAGAGTGGGAGGGAGGGAGGGAGGGAGGGAGGGAATGTACAGAGTGTGCTTGCTTCGAGTTGCCTCAGAAGACTTGCGCCTGGCGGCGAGAGATCTCCTTTATGCGCCTCTGAATCTGATGGGCAGAGTGGGACGGAAGTTGGGAAGGTACAGAGGAAGGGGGATCCTGAGTCAACATAGAACAAGGCACGTTTTGAGTCAACACAGAAGACTTGTGCCTGGCGGCGAGAGATCTCCTTTATGCGCCTCTGAATCTGAAAAACAGGCGGAGGTACCAGGACATGGATGGGAGTTCAATGTAAAAAGGACAGGGAGTGGTGGTGGTGGTGATGGTGGTGGTGATGGTGGTGTGGTGCTGGTGCCATTTCTACGTTCTTAGTATTTAAGGGGGTTTGCTTGCGCAACGAGGAAACACGGTTTTCATCATAGTGAGCTGAAGGGTTGTGAAGAACGAAAGGAGGCTTTTGAGTCGACTCATAGTGAGCTGAAGGGTTGTGAAGAACGAAAGGAGGCTTTTGAGTCGACTCATAGTGAGCTGAAGGGTTGTGAAGAACGAAAGGAGGCTTTTGAGTCGACTCATAGTGAGCTGAAGGGTTGTGAAGAACGGGAGGAGGCTTTTGAGTCGACTCATAGTGAGCTGAAGGGTTGTGAAGAACGGGAGGAGAGGAACGAACAGGGCACAAGAGAGGGCGAGGCAGAGTACAAGGGAGGCAATCCAGTAGGGAGGAGGGAAGATGGGGGGGAAAGAGGATGGGACGAGAGGGAATGATGGGCCACGGTTGAGGGGAGAAAGCTTACCTCTTCATTGCGCCTGGCCTCCTCTGTATGCAGTGTCATTTCCTGAACAGCGGAAGAGCAAGAGAGGAGGCGGGAGCGAGCAAGCGAGGCAGAGAGGACAAGAGGTTGGTGGCTTTTGAGTTGACTCAAAAGCTGGCCTCTTCATTGGGCCTGACCTCTTCTGTATGCACTGTCATTTCCCAAACAACGTGAGATGAGGGAGGGAGAAAGAGAGAGAAACGAGCAAGTGAGGAGAGATCAAACTCTTACCATTCCAGCCAATTTATGTTGTTAATCAAGATATTACAACACTGTCTGTTGTTCCTATTGGGAACACAGCACCCACCAGTGCATCAAAGTGCGGATCAGCCCGCATCACTGCCTTCACCTGGCTTGCTCAACTTGCAGAGAATGTGTCGTGTGCCATTGTAACGAGGTGACTTTTGAGTCGACTCAAAAGTCACCGCAGCACCCACCAGTGCATGTGCATCAAAGTGCGGATCGGCCCGCAACACTGCATTCACCTTGCTCAACACAACACAACCCCACCATCCTACTCTCTATCGCTCCCCCTTCACTCACCTCCTTCTCGATCCTGTCCCGGTTGGGGAACACAGCACAGCAGCCACGAGTGTGTCAAAGCGTGGGTCGGCGCGCTGAGACCCCTCAGCTACCCCCTCACAGAGACCGCCTGCTTCCTGCCATCACACCTGCACCTCGATACCTGCTTCTCAGTCCTCCACCTCGCCTCCCTCCCCCTTACCTGCGTTTCCCTCTCCTTCTCACCTCCTTCTCAATCCTGTCTCTGTTGGGGAACACAGCAGCCACCAGCGCGTCAAAGCGTGGGTCAGATCTGAGGGACCGCCTGCTGGCGCAGTGGGCTCGGCACGAGGGGCACTCGTTGTTGCTGCATGGAGATGGGGGAGGGAGGGAGGGGTAGGGAGGGGGAGGGGAAGAAGAAGGGGAATGTGGCGGGCGGGGGGGCAGGTGGAGAAGGTGAAGGGACATGCAGTATGCAATGCACATGTATCTAAAGCATGATTTTTGAGGCGCCTCAAAAATTGCAATGCACATGTATCTAAAGCATGTGCACTGGGCCTTCGGTGAAAACTCTCACCCAAGTATGCAGTGCTCATATGCTCAGTCTGTTTTTTGAGAATTCTAAAAAAACATACTCTCCGTGTCACCCAAGCATCCATCTCAGCCCACCCTACATCTCACCCAAGCCTCTACCTCACCTTTGCCTTCATCCCACCCAATGCTTACCTCACCCAAGCAAGCGTGCATACCACCCAAGCGTGCATCTCACCCAAGCGTGCATCTCACCCAAGCGTGCATCTCACCCAAGCCTGCATCTCACCCAAGCGTGCATCTCACCCAAGCGTGCATCTCACCCAAGCCTGCATCTCACCCACGCCTGCATCTCACCCACGCCTGCATCTCATCCAAGCCTGAATCCCACTTACCCAGGATTGACCTTCACCTCACCCTCGCCTTATCTCATCCATGCCTGGCATCCATCTCACCCGAGCCTGACGCCCGTCTCACCCGAGCCTGATGGCCTTGTCGATGCAGTCCCCACAGAAGCGGTGCAAGCACTCCATGACGGTGCACGTCCGCCTGATGATGCCTGGGACCTTCTCACCCGAGCCTTACGTCCATCTCAACCAAACCTGACGGCCTTCTTACCCAAATCTGATGTCCTTCTCACGCAAACCTGACGTCCGTCTCACCTGGCCCGGCGTGCATCTCACCTGAGCCTGATGTCCATCTCACTTCCGAGCCTGATGTCCTTCTCCCCCGAACCTCACCCGAGCCTGATGGCCTTGTCGATGCAGTCTCGACACAAGAGGTGCAAGCACTCCATGACGGTGCGCGTCCGCCTGATGATGCCTGGGACCTTCTCACCCAAGCCTGACTACCTTCTCACCCAAATCTGACGGCCTTCGCACCCAAACCTGATGACCTTCTCATGCAAACCTGGCGTCCATAACACCCGAACCTGACGTCCGTCTCACCCAAGCCTGATGTCCGTCAATCTCCTCCGAACCTCACCCGAGCCTGATGGCCTTGTCGATGCAGTCCCCACAGAAGCGGTGCAAGCACTCTATGACTGTGCGCGTCCGCCTGATGATGCCTGTCGGCCAATGGGAGACCGCCACGTCAGCGCCACGTGTCATCCGGAGGCCACAACCTTGGCTTGGGATAACCCCGAAACTGAGCATACTCATATATTATTTTGAAAAGTAGACGTATATGGATGACTTTTCGAAGGTGGACAGTTTTGAGGCGCCTCAAATTATTATTTTGATAAGTAGACGTGTATGAATGACTTTTCAAAGGTGGACAGGACGGGACGGGACGGGACGGGGCGGGGCGGGGCGGGGCGGGGCGGGGCGGGGCGGGGCGGGGCGAGGCGGGGCGGGGCGGGACGGGGCGGGGCGGGACGGGACGGGACGGGACGGGACCGGACCGGACCGGACCGGACCGGACCGGACCGGACCGGACCGGACAGGACAGGACAGGACAGGACAGGACAGGACAGGACAGGACAGGACAGGACAGGACAGGACAGGGTTGTCAACATGCGAGAAGCACATGGCAACGCTTCAGCAGAAAAGCTGATCTGTAAATGACAATCAGACATGATTGACAGGTTGCTCTCACCAAGGCATATGGGACACTGTAACTCTTTCCTGATGTCTAGTAGTGATATAGTGACCATTCTGCAGGGAGAAAGCGTGGGAATGGCAGCAGCATTGCAAAAATTGTGGCATTTAGGGGAGATTGGTAGCATTAGGGAAAATTGGTAGCAACTAGCGAAAAAAGGTGTCAATTAGGGGGGACTGGCCGCAGTCAGGGTAACAAAATGGAGTTATTCGGGACGACAGACACGCCGCAACAGCAGTGGGACGGGAAACAGGTGATAATTGGTGGTTCGAAAGAGCGGCCCCTCTCGCGCTAGCAACACCCACAGTAGGAAAGACTGTGAGAAAATCACTCAGGGATTGACGAAAAAAAAAAAAAACAATTCGACGAAAAAGAATGACACAATCACGGATTGGCCAAAACGAGCGAAATGCTCTTCGAGTCGCACAGGGATTGCGCCGAATAAAAAAGACTTACTCCTGTGCGTCTGGCGTCGGCCTCTTTGCCGAAACCATGTTGACGGTGATAAACGATGGCGGCTGTAAGGACGGTATGATGGTGCAGGTGACACTATTGATGGCAGTGCGGGAATAATAGCAGCAGCAGCTCTGGAAATATTGGAGTGCTGTAAGGGCGTGTAACCATTTTGCATTTTCGCGTTTTTGCGGATGGTCCTAATACTCTGAAACGGACGGTCCTATTAGCGAGAACAAGACCGTCCGATTTGAAGTTTGCCCCGTCTGGATGAAGAGGTGACACTTTTTGTGTGTTGTTGGTTTTCGCGATAGCTGTAGCCTCGTTAGGGACATTGTAGCGTCGTTACACAATTCACGGCTACTTCTCCGCAAAATTCGTGCGCCAATCTCGATTTCATATTTTCAGAACTGCGCGCCAATCTCTAGACAGGACTGATGGACCGTCTGTTTGGGTTTTGGACTGTCCACATTCTGAACTGTTGAAGTGAGGAAAAAGTTGTACCACGGTTCGAAATGTTGGCGACGTCGCACAAATATTCACGAATACATAAGCTACAAAATGCGAAACTGGTAACTCTTAGTAGATGTGGACGGTCCATGGCTCGTACCGTCAAGTGCAAAATGGTTACACGCCCTAAGGCTGGGTCAACCGTTGCGAACTGGCGATCGCTGCGAAATTGAGGTCGCTGCAAAATTGAGATCCTTGCGAAAACACGACTGTGGTTGTAACTACAGAACGGCGAACAGACTGAAGCTCCGTGCTTTGGATTTGACAGCACCCTTCCCCTCATATAATCGCAACTCCCCTCAAGGAGCAGAAATGCAGCGAACGCTGGTAACCTAGTGAAGGAGGACCTTGAGTTGAAGATCGCCCACAGAAACCCCTTCATTCGCGAATGAAGCGATTGGGTACCTCTCGCGACCTCCCCGACCCGAGCCCCGAGCCGTGATCAGATGGGATCTTCTTCAGCGGCTGGGCGTAATCCCCGAAATCTGCCGAGAGATCCGCGATCCTGCTGTGCTGGAGCTGAGCATTTATGAGAGACAGGGACCACGGCGCTCGTCGCGCTTGTGAAACGATTTATTCATTTAAAACCAGGGTGCACATTCAACGCGGTTCGGCTTGAGATGTTGGGAAGGGGGTTTGGAGAAAAACAGTGATTGGCTCACGAGGGGCGACAAAAAAATGATTCCGCTAGAGCTTCGGGCATTTCGTAGGTGGCGGGAGGGGGTGAAATGGCGGGAGTGGGTGAAACCGAATGGCGGGAGGGATGAAACAGATTGGCGGGAGGGGGGGGGGAAACGAAATTGCGGGGGAGGGGGGAAACAAAATTGCGGGGGAGGGGGGAAACGAATTTCGACGGGGAGGGGGAAATGAAATTGCGGGGGCGTGGGGAAACGAAATTGCGGGGGAGGGGGGAAACGAATTTCGACTTGAAGGGGTTGAAAGCACACCTCGTAACCCACTCAGTCAAGGGATAACCTTTGATGCACATTCAGCTGAATGTGCACCCCGGTTTTAAAGAGCTTATGTAAGAACTCCGAAAACCTACAAGCTTTGGAGTCTGACAAGCCTTTGCAGATCTTGGTCACACCGTGATCACGGTCCACGAGTTTTTCCACGCGGTTGCCACTAGCCTGTAGCCACTAGTGTCTAACTCGTGTTTCCCCAACCAATTTCCTCTGTTGCTGACTTTTAACGACAACTACAGCGTGTGAAAATTAATTTCCTGTGCTTTCCCCGACCTCTCCCTCCCAACAATTCACTCCAGACTGATGAATGTCCCAGATGGACGAGTTTGTCTTGGCACACACCCCGCTTGCTTCCTCGTCAGGCCCCTCCGCCGCGACAAAGTCCCAAAGGAGGACCATTCCTCGAAGATACTTTGAGACTCACACGAAGTGTCGAGTTACTGTAGATCAGTGTCAGAATCCATTTTATCCCCTCTTGTTGGTCTTGTGCATCCTTCCAAACCGACCACCCCTGCATTGCGATTTAGGGCATCCAGTTTTTCCATTTTCTCCGTCTCGTGGTTCCATGTCAGCGGCGTACCTTTGTCCTTTGTTGCGGCATCAAGCCTAAACACCAGGAGGCATGGATTTAGGGTTGATGCCTCCCTTCGGATGGCATGCCATCCGATAGGGTTTTAGTTTGTTTTCTGCCCTGGGCAGCATGTCGTCAAGTCGTCAATGGGTCGTCAGGCCTGACGACCGTTTCCGCTGGGATATTCCAGTTTGCTTCCTTCCCTCTATGGATTGAACTGTACGGTACCGCAGGCGTGTTCCGCCACTCACCCTCAGTCATCCTCAGTCCAGTTGCTACTGTATTCTTTTGTGCTCTTCAGCGCGGAGTATTGTTCTGTCAGTCACTAGTTGATCAAACAACTCATATGGGTTTGATGTACACCGAGTTTCAACCTCAGGCAGTTTCGTCCATGTGACCCTACCTTGTCAGACAGAATGTTTCTGTACTACGAACTGGAGTCGTAATGGTTCGCCACAGCTCCCTCAAATGGCATATTTTCCCGCACGAAAACCTCACAGCAGCAACAAGGAAAGCAACAGAAGCAGCAGTCTCAGAAGAATCAATCAATTTCAGCAGCAGCAGCAGCAGCAGCAGCAGTCGCAGGAGCAACAGCAGCGCGTCAAGCGGCCGGCCTCACCGACTTCGTCCCACGACGCTTCGATTAGACCCGACGGCATGCCTTATCCAAGAATCCCCTCCTTCACGTCACCTCGCGCTACTATCACACCCATCAGTGTGAATGGAGATAGGGTTAATAATACTAGCGTGAATGGTTTTAATAATAGTAGGGTTCTCATTGACTCGGGGGAGATGAATAAAGTGAATCCAGTCGCCGGAATGGCGACCATTATGAATAATGTAGAGAGACCGAGTGTTTTGTCAACTCACAAGGGTCGAGATTCCGAGGTCGCTGCCGGAATGTCGACGATGGGGATGGTGGTGGGCCATTCGCACTTGGTGCAGTTCGTGCTGCGGCCCGGTGACGGCTCGATAATCCACGCGAGTAAAGGCGCGGTCAAGACGCTCGGCTACTCGCGCGACGAGCTGTTATCGGTGGGTCTCGCACGTTTGAGGATATTAGAATCACGTGTAAGAATTCTAAAAAAATCGTCTTCGTCCACGCGCGTAAAGGAGCGGTCAAGACGCTCGGTGGGTCTGCACCTCCGTTCGTCTGGCAGTTGTGTCATTTTGTTGTTGCAGTTGTTGTTGTTGTTGTTGTTGTTGTTGTTGTTGTTGTTGTTGTTGTTTTTTGTTTTTTGTTTTTTTTTTGGCCTCCGTCCTCGCATTTACGGCACGTGTGATCTGCGTATGCATGGCTTTGAGATCTTTTTTAAGGATAGTATCATCCTACCTCTTTGCGTTCAGCTTCGGCATGATTCAGATGATTCGGCATGATTTATAGCGCCGTTCCCACCCTTCATTCGATGTGTGACCTAACCCGGTTTTTTTAATTCACATGGACAGATATTTCATGTTTGTGAAACCCGCCATGCCCCTTGTTTTTTGTTTTGTTTTTTGCTGGTAATATTGTTAGTTCGTTTGTTTTTGCCTCTTATCCCTTTCCCGTGCCCCTGCGTCCCCAATTCTCCAATTTCGGCCCCCAGCAACGGCTTTCCACTTCCCGCTTCGCCCTCTATAACGAAAGCCAAAGCTGATTCTCCCATCCTCCCCCCTCCCCCCTCCTCCTTTTCCTTCCTCTCCCGTTTTCCCCATTCCGCTTCTCATCCCCCCTTCCGCCTTCCCCAGACGTCTCTTCTCCGCCTGGCCGCCCCTTTCCCGCTGAGCGACTGGCGCGCAGTCGTGCAGCGCCTAGAGACCGCGCAAATCGACTCCGCCGCGCTCCCGCTCACCCTCACGTGCCCCGCCACTGCACCCGCCGCTTCCGCCTCGTCCGCCGCGGCTTCTGCTGCAGCGGCAGCCCTTTTAGGTGCGGGGGAAGGCGCATTCGGCGGGGGGAGCGGAAGTGGCGGAGGGGGCGGAAGGGGCGGAGCAGCATGGGGAGTCTCTGCAGAAAGGGGAAGCGTTTCGCAGCAGCATCCGCATTTCCCTGCTGTGTCTGCGCTTTCTGCGCATATAGACGAAGCAGATGGAATTTCAAGAGGCGAATCTGGGAAATTTCTCGTTCTGCCGTCCTATCCGGGCACCCCTGGAGGCTCGTTCACACTTTCTGGGGGAACTTCCCCTTTTAGGGTTTCCAGCCCCACCCCGTCCACCTCCCCGTACGCTCTAGACCCCCTTGCGGCAATGTCTGAGTCGGAAGGAGAGGAGGGGAAGGGCGTGAGGAGGTTCAGCAAGCAAAGGACTGCGTCTGGATCCGATATGGGCCGGTTTGCGGGGGACGGTGATGTGCTTATAACGGGGTTTGATGCAAGCGAAGGAGCAGGAGGGTTGGGGGAAGTGAGGAGTGGAGGAGCAAAGGCAGGTAGTAGCTTTGGTAGTGGCGGTGGTGATGGTGGTGGAGGAGGAAGAAGTGGACCAATTGGCTCGGAGATTGAGGGGCGTTTCGATGCAATACCCTTATCCCCGTTCTCCACCACCTCTTCATGGGAACCTCCTCCTCTTCCTCTTCCTTCTTCTGTTACGCTCCCTTCGGCTGGCCCCATTTCTGCTGCTCCTGTTACTGCTCCTTCTGCTGCTGCGGATCCTCCCGACAGCTCTAGTCTGGTAACCACCACCCCCACCACTGTTACCACCGTCAGCAGTGGCACCGGCAGTAGCAGGGGCATAGGGAGCAGCAACGGCATAGGCAGCAGCCGCACCAGCTTTACCCGTGCTGACAGTGAGTCCCGCAGCAGCCGCCTTCCTGCCAACCTTACAAGTAGCAGCCTAGCTGGTAGCACCCTTACAGGTAACAGCCTTCCGGGTAAGAGCCACACTAGAAGCGGCTGGACGGGCAGCAGTCACACAGGCAGCAGCAGTGCCAGTAGCTTCACGGGGTTCAGGGGCGCTGGGGCGGGGAACCTTATAGCGAGTGAGCAGCTGGGCGGGGAGACGGTTAATATGGAGCAGTTGGAGCTGCCTGTAGCGGGGATGGCTGGGTTCTGGAGTGAGGAGGAGGGGAGGGCGACGGGGGAGCGTGCGAGAGGGAGTGGGTGGAGCAACAGAGAAGGCGACGCTAGTGGTGATGTGAGTGGTGGTGGTATCAGTGGCGGTGGTGGTGGAGGGAGTGGGGGGAAGGGCAAACAGCTGCAGAGTACACAGCAGAGTTCCGCCGGTCAGGGTTTGGCTGCCCAGGATTCTGCTGTTCAGAATCTGGCCACTCCGGATTCAGCCGCCCAGGTCTCAGCCGCGCAGGTCTCAGCCGCCCAGGTTTCAGCCAATCAGGGTTCAGCTGTGGCACCTGCGTCTCCCTTCACCTTTCTCCCCAGCCACAGCTCCACGATTCCAGGAAAGAACTTCTCAAATTCAGGAAAAAGTTCCTCACCCCCCCCTGGCCATCTTCTGGGACTATTCAGAAGCAATTCAGGCATACCTTCAAGCCAGCAGCAATCCTCAATGCAAGAAAGCAGGGAGAGCAGGGCGACAGGGAAGGAAAGAGGTGTGAGGGACGGGGCGAGAGGCGAGGAGGCGGAGGAGGAGGAGGATTCAGAGGCAGCAGCGGCAGCAGCAGCAGGAGCGGCAGCGGCTGGTGCAAGGAGCAGTTTCAGCTTTAACGTTCCTCGCTCCCTCGTGCCTGTGTCTATAAGCTGGAGTGGTGCCACTGCCACTGGCAAGGCTGGTGCTGCTGCCACTGCTGCTGGTTCTGCTGGTGCTGGTGCTGGTGCCGCTGCTGCTGGTGGTGGTGGTGGTGGTGATGCTGGTGCTGCTGCTGCAGGGACAGTGGGTCATGGGAGGGTGGGGAAGGGAGGAGGAGCAGGCATGCAGGGACCAGCGGACGAAGGGGGCGGTTTGAGCTCGGTTTGGATGGGTAAGTGGCGCAGCAAGAGCAGCAGCAGAGCGAGGTCCATGGACGTTCCTGATCCTGCTGCTGTGGCAGAGCACCATGCTGAGCTTGCTGCTGCTGCTGCTGCTGCTGGTGGTGGTGGTGGTGGTGGTGGTGGTGGCATCAAGAGCAGCAGGAGCAGCAGCAGAGCGGGGTCCATGGACTTTAGCGATCCTGCCGCTGTGGCCGCTGCTGTTGTGGCGGAGCATCAAGCTGAGCTTGCTGCTGCCGCTGCTGGAGCTGCTGCGGGGAAGAGTGCTGGTACTAGTGGTGTTGGTGCTGCTGCTTCTATCGCTGCTGGCTCTACCGCTGTTGCTAGTGCTGCTGCTAGTGCTGGTGGTGCTGCTGCTAGTGCTGGTGGTGCTGCTAGTGCTGCTGGCAGTGCTGGCGGCAGTGTGACTAGCAAAGGCAAGTCATCGTGGTTGCGGCACATGCTGAAATCCACCTTTGGATCCGTAAAGGCCCCTCCATCCCCTCGCCGTGCTGCTGCTGCTGCTGCTGCTGCTGCTGCTGGTGGTGCTGCATCAGGTTCTGGACCCAAATTTGCTGGTAGAGCTAGTGGTGGGTCTGAGTCTGACAGTTCTTCCAGGGGCAGGAAGAGTGCTGGGTGGAAGCGAGGAGACGGGCCATGGAGAGCAGACGGGGAGAGGAGGCGCAGGAGCGCGAGTGGTGTGGACGTGCAGAGGAGAGTGAACAATGAGGGAGAGGAGATGGGAGTGGAGCAGGGAGAGGGGGAGGGAGAGGTGGGAGAAGCGGGGGCGTTGAGAGGCCGGTCCGTGACAACTGGATCAGTTGGGCTGGTTCGTTCAGACCCTCACTCCTTGTCACTTCGTGACTCTGCTTCGGATGCTGCCGGCACTGCTAGCGCTGCTGGTGCTGTTGGTGGTGCTGGTGCTGCCAATGGTGCTGGTGCTGCAGGTGCTAGTGGTAGCAGGGATTGCGGCTGGGATAGCAATAGGGAAGACAACAGCAGGGGGGGCAGCAGGGGTGCGAGCAGCAGTAACCGGGAGGACAGTAGGGGGCATAGTATGAGCAGCAGGGGAGACAGCAGGGGGGTGAGCATGAGCAGCAGGGGGGGAAGCTGTGAGATGGTGCATGTGCATGCGATGGTGGATTTGCAGCTGTTTCACATCGTAGGCTGCTCTGACCTCGTTGCTACAGGTGGGTGTGATTGGATGTGATTGGATGTGTGTGCATGTGCATGGATGTGCGTGGATGTGCGTGGATGTGCATGGATGTGCATGGATGTGCGCGCGCATGTTTTCGTAAGTTTGTTTGGCGTGCTCGCATGTGTGTGCTCGCATGTGTGTGTGGTAGAGGCTAGGATGCGGTGGTGGATTTGCAGCTGTTTCACATCGTAGGCTGATCGGACCTCGTTGCTACAGCTGTGTGTGAGTGTGTGTGTATGCACGCACGTGTGTGTGTGTGTGTGTGTGTGTGTGTGTGTGTGTGTGTGTGTGTGTGTTTGTGTGTACGTGTGTGCGCGTGCGCGGGCGTGTGTGTGTGTGAGTGAGAGTGTGTGTATGCTATGCGCACGCATGTGTGTGCGTGTGTGTGTGTGTGTGTGTGTGTGCGTCTGTGTGATTGTGTGCGTCTGTGTGTGTGTGTGTGTGTGTGTGTGTGTGTGTGTGTGTGTGTGTGTGTGTGTGTGCCCGAACGCGTGTGTGTTTGCGCTAGCGCGCGCGTGTGTGTATGTGCGCGCGCCTGTGTGTGTGTGTGTGTGTGTGTGTGTGTGTGTGTGTGTGTGTGTGTGTGTGTGTGTGTGTGAGTGAGTGATTGAGCCCTAATGCGCCTTTAGATTCAACCCAACCCCGTTCCTCCCGTGCTTTTGTGCATTTGTGCCTCTTCCGCAGTGCATTTGCCCTCTCCCTACACCGTATCCTCTTCTCGCCCTTCATCCGGGCAGCTTATTCCCACGAGATCACCTCAACCGGCCCCACAGCAACAGCAACCTACGCCAGTTCACCACTCGCAGCAGTCAAGACAGCCGCAGCAGCAGCAGCAGCACCACCACCACCACCAGCAGCACCAGGCACAGGCACAGGCACAGGCACAGGCACAGGCACAGGCACAGGCACAGGCACAGGCACAGGCACAGGCACAGGCACAGGCACAGGCACAGGCACAGGCACAGGCACAGGCACAGGCACAGGCACAGGCACAGGCACAGGCACAGGCACAGGCACAGGCACAGGCACAGGCACAGGCACAGGCACAGGCACAGGCACAGGCACAGGCACAGGCACAGGCACAGGCAGGGATGGGAATGGAGGTGCAGGCATCCGACATAATTGATGGTCAAGCTCAGGTGCTGCCGCTCCAACCTCCACCAGATCTTTTCCTCCATCCCCACCCCCACCCGCACCCCCACAACTATCCTCACTCTCACCCGTATGTGAACCCACACCCTCACCCACACCTCTCAAACAACCTGCAACACCATCAGCAGCAGCAGAAGCAGCATCACATGCAGCATCAGCAGCAACACCTGCAGCTGCAGCCGCTGCAGCAACAACAGCAGCACTGGCAGCAGCAGCAGCATCAGCAGAGCATGTCCCAACCGCCTCTTGTTTCGCCCCGTCGCCCTCCTTCCCCTCGTGGTGTGACCCAGCGGCAACAACACCAGCAGCAACAGCAGCAGCAGCATCAGCAGCAGCACCACCAGCAGCGGCATGAGCAGCCACAACAGCACTCGCTCCCACTCTCTCCTACACTCGCTCTCACTTCCCCTCTGTCCTCATCGCTCCCTCTCACTTCGCATATCCCTTCATCATCCCCCCATGGCATATCCTCTTCTCATTCACTCCCCCCATCGTCCCCCAGACCTCCTTCTCAAGCCACGTCCCCCCTCCCTCTCCTTCTCACTCCCCAACGTTCCCACCACTCACCCTCCTCCTCTCCCTCTCCTCTCTCCTCCCCCTTCCCTCTCTCCTTACACTCTCCTCACTCCCCCTTACCGCCCACCACTCCCTCCCATCTTTCCCCACAGCCCCCACCCCCCCATCTCTCCGCATCCCACCTCATCACAAGAAATTCGTTACAGTCACCTGCGACAAGCTCTCTAGCGTGGGAGAGTGCTTCCTCTTATCAAGATGTGCTTACAACGGAGGCTGTGGAGAGGGGCAGGCCTCTACTGGACCTGGCAGGCATAGGGGCTGTGACTCTAACGGAGGAGGAGGGGAGGGTTACCCTGTGCAACCCGGCGGCCAATAGGATGCTTGCGGGGAGATTCTCGGCCAATGGGGCGGCTCTGGGGGGAGTGCCAGCATGGCAGGTGGAAGGGCGGGTGCTGAGCGATTTTGTTGATGAAGCCTCGCGTGCTGCTTTCGTGGTGAGTGGAGTGGGGGAGGTGGAGTGTCGGGGGGTGGAGTTCCGGGAACGAGGCGGGGTGGGTGCTGAGTGATTTCGTTGATGAGGTGATTTCCGCGGTGCATTCGTGGTGAGTGGAGTGTGCGGATGGAAGGCAGGATGCGAGGGAAGTGTGCAGATGGAAGGGTGGTGCTCTGTGACTTTATTGCTGCAGCCTTGTGCTCCCCGCCCTTGCCTCCCCGCCCTGCCGAGTTGGCTTTTGAGTCAACAGGGAAGTGTGAGGTTTGGAAGGGTGGTGCTCTGTAATTTCATTGCTACAGACTTGTCCTCCCTGCCTCTCTCTCCGTCTCCCTGCCTCTCTCCGTCTCCCTGCCTCTCTCTCCCTCTCCCTGCCTATCTCTCCCTCTCTCTGCCTCTTGCCCCTCTACTTACCTCTCTCTCGCTCTTCCCGTCCTCCCTTTTCTCTCCCCCCGCAGTCCGACTACACGGCTGTGTGCACGGGCCTAGCGCAGCGCTCCCAGCAGGAAGTGCGGGTGAGAGCAGCAGATGGGGCGATCAGATGGGTGCGGCTCACATGCCACCGCATCAAATCGAGAGCGGATAGTAAAGCACCGCAACGCATTAGTTCAGAGGGCGGTGTGCCTCACCGTTACCACGCAACGCCTCACAGCTCTATAAACCCGAATAGTGACGGTGAGCCTTACCGCATCAGAGCAGGCTCACCACCCGTCGTCGCGACGAGTTCGGAGGGTGATTTGCCTCGCATCGCCGCAATTGCAGAAGTTGGTCCATCACATGGTATCAGAGCAGCAGGCTCACTGTCACCACAGGTCGCACTGAGTTCGGAGGGTGATGCGACTCACAGCACCGCAGCAGGCTTGCTGGTCACGAGTACAGATGGTACAAGTGCGGAGGGTGGTGCCACTCCTCACACCGAGCCCACTCGCTGTTCCATTGGTCAAGGGGCAAGTGAGGGGGAAGGAGGAGCTGTAGCAGCGAAGGATGTAGCAGAAACGGCTGTAGCAGAAGCGGCTGTAGCAGAAGGGGCTGTAGGTGGGGAAGTTGCAGCTGAAAATGCTAGAGTTGGGGAGGCTGCAGCTGGGGTTGCTGCAGCTGAGCTGGCGAACGAAGGGAAAGAGGATGGCGGTTTGAATGGATACAGAGGAGAAGGGAGGGGTGTGGTTATTGAGCGACCAGGCGAGGAGGAGGAGGAGGTGGAAAGGAGAGAGGACGGGAAGGAGGAGCGAGAGGAGGAGCGTAAGGCACAGGAAGAGGAGGACGGGAAGGAGGAGCGGAAAGAGGAAAGGAAAGAGGAGCGAGAGGGGGAGGGCGAGGAGGGGGGAGATGAGGAGGAGAAGGTGAGGGAGGTGCAGGTGCTGTGTCTATTGGAGGATATCAGCGACAGGAAGGCACTGGTATGTGCGTGGGGCGTGCAAACAAGTATGCTTATAACGGGTGTGTGGTGTACCAATGGTGTGGTGTGGGTGGGAGGTGCAGGTGCTGTGTCTCCTGGAGGATATCAGCGACAGAAAGGCACTGGTATGTGTGTGGGGTGTGCGAACAAGAATGCTTATAGTTCCCCCTCTCACTCATGTTCCCTCCTTCCGATCACTTGTTCTCTCACTCTCACGCACCCCCATCAGGAGCAGAGCATGTGGAAGTATAAGATGATGGTGGAGAATCTACCATTCCCTCTCTTACTTGTGTCCCTTTTCTCCTATCACCTGTTCTCTCCCCCTCTTCCTGCCTCACCCCCCCATCAGGAGCAGAGCATGTGGAAGTATAAGATGATGGTGGAGAATCTACCGGGGGGCGCTGGACGGCCGGCAGGAGGTGCTCATCAACTCCACCGCCGCCCACCTGCTCACACTCCCTTTTCCTCCCTATCTCTCTTTCCCTCGCTCTCTCACTGCTTCCTGAACAGGAGCAGAGCATGTGGAAATATAAGATGATGGTGGAGAATCTACCGGGGGGCGCCGTGCTGATGACAAGAGCACTGGACGGTCGACAGGAGGTGCTCATCAACTCCACCGCCGCCCACCTGCTGGGGTGCGCCCGCGGGGACATTGACAGCGTTGAGAAGTGGTTTCAGGCGCTGTATGGGCGGGAGAATGCGGCGAAAGCGCAGAGGAAGTACGAGGGGAGAAGGATGGGCGCTGCGCGGAACAGCGTTTTCAATACTGTGCTGCCAATTCGGGTGCGTATTTACGTGGGTTGGGGAAGGGGGGAACGGAAGTGAGGGGAGGGAGGGAAGTGGGGAACGGAAGTGAGGGGAGGGAGGGAAGGGGGGAACGGAAGTGAGGGGAGGGAGGGAAGGGGGAAACGGAAGTGAGGGGAGGGAGGGAAGGGGGGAACGGAAGTGAGGGGAGGGAGGGAAGGGGGGAACGGAAGTGAGGGGAGGGAGGGAAGGGGGGAACGGAAGTGAGGGGAGGGAGGGAAGGGGGAACGGAAGTGAGGGGAGGGAGGGAAGGGGGGAACGGAAGTGAGGGGAGGGAGGGAAGGGGGGAACGGAAGTGAGGGGAGGGAGGGAAGGGGGGAACGGAAGTGAGGGGAGGGAGGGAAGGGGGGAACGGAAGTGAGGGGAGGGAGGGAAGGGGGGAACGGAAGTGAGGGGAGGGAGGGAAGTGGGGAACGGAAGTGAGGGGAGGGAGGGAAGGAGAATGCTGCCAAGGCACAGCGGAAGTACGAGGGACGGAGGATGGGGGCGGCACGGAACAACGCGTTCAACACTGTGCTGCCCATTCGGGTGCGTCCTTCCTCCCCTCCCCTCTCTCCTCCTCATTCTCTCTGCCGATCAGGGTGCGTACTGGGGTTAGTGTGGGGGAGGGAGGGAAGGAAGGGAGGGAGGGGGACATGGACAGCATTAGGAGGATGGGCAGCGCGCGAACACCGTGTTCAACACTGTGCTGCCCATTCGGGTCCGTGCTTGGGTTGGGGTAGGTGAGGGAAGGGAGGGATGGAAGGTGTTCCAACCTCTGTGTAAGGAAGGATGGCTCGAAGCTGCTGCTGGCGTTCGAACGAAGGATGGTTTCCCAGCGACGTAACCGAGAGCTGAACGAGCAGTTTTTGTCGTCCTCTCCCTCTCCCTGTCCTTACTCGCCCCTCATCCATCCACCCTTGCAGTGCAAGGACGGCTCAAAGCTGCTGCTAGACGCCACGTCCTACTCTCTGGGCGTGGGAGATGCACATGGTAGCTTCTCAACGGCATCACCAAGAGCTGCTAGAACAGCCTTTCTCCATCGTCTTCCTCCCTTCCCCCTGACATCACCCTGGCAGCGCAAGGACGTCTCGAAGCTGCTGCTGGATGCAACGTCCCACTCGCTGGGTTTCGGCGACATGTGGCTCGTGAACGACATCACGGAGAGCCGCAAGAATAGCTTGTTTCCCTTGCCTCCCGCTCCCTCTCTTTCCCCTATGACCCTCTGCAGCGCAAGGACGGGTCGAAGCTGCTGTTAGATGCCACGTCATACTCGCTGGGTTTCGGCGACATGTGGCTTGTCAACGACATCACAGAGAGCCGCAAGAACCAGTTCAAGTTCAAGATGCTCTTTGAGCTCTCCTCCGTGAGTTTCCTGGTGTTGGTACCTACCTGGTGCTCTGGTGTTTTTTTTTTTTAGGCGCCTTTTGAGTCGACTCAAAAGTCACTCCGTGAGTTTCCTGGTTTTGGTACCTGGTGCTCTGGTGTGATTTTTTGTTTTCGGCGCCTCAAATGTCCTCCGTGAGTTTACTGGTGTCGGTAGTAGCTGCTGCTCCGGTGTGTAGTCTGCTCCTCTCTGTGAATGATCGTCTCTCAGTAGCTGCTCTCCTTGGTGAGGTTGCTGGTTGTGTGCCTAGGTGAGTGCTCATATCATATGTCCTCGATGATTGCTCTCCTAACTTTTGAGACTTCTCAAAAGATGATTGCTCTTCTAACTCCCGGCAGGACCCCAAGCTACTCGTTACAAAGGACGGCCACGTGTCTGACCGCGCCCCCTCATCTCCCCCTCCCCCAACCCCCTTTTCCTTCCCATCCCCTTTCCTCAATCACCGGCAGGACCCCAGGCTACTCCTAACGAAGGCGGGGCGCATGTTTGACTGCAACCAAGCAGCAGTGCGGATATTGGAGTGACTTTTGAGAATTCTCAAAAGTCGCATGTTTGACTGCAACCAAGCAGCAGTGTGGATCCTCAAGTGCCCCACCAAGGAGTCCCTTCCCTGCCGCACGCCCTGGCGCCTCCGGCCGCCTCCTATCACCCCTTTAAGCGCCCCTCCGCTTCAGAACACCCCCACCCAGGCTTCTCACCTTCCCCTTCCCCTCGCTTAATCCCGGCAGGACCCCAAGCTACTCCTGACAAAGGATGGCCGGGTGTTTGACTGCAACCAGGCAGCAGTGAGAATCCTCAAGTGCCCCACCAAGGAGTCTCTTCTCGGCCGCACGCCCTGGCGCCTCTTGCCTTGCCTCCTCCAACCAGCCCTCTGAGCGCCCCACAGCCCCGGGAAACTCCCACCTAGGCTTCTCACCTTCCGCTGCCCCTTACTTTTCCCTTCCCCCTATCCCCTCCCTACCTGCAGGACCCGAAACTACTCTTAACAAAGGACGGGCGCGTGTTTGACTGCAACCAGGCGGCAGTGAGAATCCTCAAGTGCCCCACCAAGGAGTCTCTCCTCGGCCGCACGCCCTGGCGCCTCTCGCCTCTCCAGCAGCCCACCACCAAGCAGCCCGCCTCCGCTCTTAAAGCCATTCTCGCCCACCTCGCCGCCTCCAACCAGCCCCCCAACCGAACCTCAGGCCCGGGATCCTCAGGCTCGGGAAACTTCTATCCGGGCCTCTCCGGTTCGTCGTCACTGTTTCCTGCCACCGCTGCCGCCACCGCTGCTGCTGCCTCCGGCTCGGCGGGTGGTTCGGCAGGAGTCTCGGCAGGAGGCTTGGCAGCAGCAGACGCAACCAGTGGCCTGGCGGGAGACTTGGTGGGAGGCACGGGGAACAGGTGGCGGCGGTTCGAGTGGGTTTTCCGGGACGAAGAGGGAGGAGAAGTGCTGGTCGAAGTCCTCTGCCGCATGGTGGAGTTCTTCGGGGAAAACGTCTACCTCATGGTGTGGCATGATATAGCCGAGGTGAAGCGGAAGGAGGCGGACTTGCAGCGGGCGAAGCTCGAAGCAGAAAAAGCCAGCCTGGCGAAGACCCAGTTCCTGGCGAATATGAGCCACGAGATTCGGACCCCGATGAACGGTGTGATCGGGGTCGCGGAGCTGCTACTGGATACGCCCTTGTCGGAGGAGCAGCAGATGCTGGTGAATACGATCCGGTCGTCGAGCCAGGGCTTGCTGCATATCCTGTCGGATATTTTGGACCTGAGCAAGATTGAGAATGAGAGGATGGCACTGGAGTTTGCGGAGTTTGACGTGAGGGAGCATCTTGCGCACTCTCTGGCGCTCTATGAGGTGTCTGCCCGAGATAAGAAGCTGCAGGTGAGAGGGGTGAGAAGGGTGAGAAGAGAAGGTACCATGCGAGATAGATTTTAGCAGGCGCAGTGAGGTTTTAGCAACCTCCCTATTAACCCCCCCCATTCACCTCAACTGCTTTGTTTGTTTTGTTCTCTCTCTCCCCTCTTTCCCTCTCTCCCCTCTTTCCCTCTCTCCCCCCTTTCCCTCTCTCCCCCCTTTCCCTCTCTCCCCCCTTTCCCTCTCTCCCCCCTTTCCCTCTCTCTCCCCTCTTTCCCTCTCTCCCCCCTTTCCCTCTCTCCCCCTTTTCCCTCTCTCCTCCCTTTCCCTCTCTCCTCCCTTTCCCTCTCTCCCCCCTTTCCCTCTCTCCCCCCTTTCCCTCTCTCTCCCCCCTTTCCCTCTCTCCCCCCTTTCCCTCTTTCCCCCCTTTCCCTCTCTCCCCACTTTCCCTCTCTCCCCCCTTTCCCTCTCTCCCCCCTTTCCCTCTCTCCCCCCTTTCCCTCTCTCCCCCCTTTCCCTCTCTCCCCCCTTTCCCTCTCTCCCCCCTTTCCCTCTCTCCCCCCCTTCCCTCTCTCTCCCCTTCCCTCTCTCCACCCCTTCCCTCTCTCCCCCCCTTCCTTCTCTCCACCCCTTCCCTCTCTCCGCCCCTTCCCTTTCGGCTGCCTTCCCTCCCTGCCTCCCCATCGCAGCTCAAGTCCCACGTGAGTCGGGACGTGCCCCTAAAGATCCTAGCAGACGCAGTGAGGGTGAGGCAGGTTCTTCTCAACCTCGTTTCCAATGCCATCAAGTTCACCGCCCGCGGCCGCGTCACCGTGCGCATCTCCACCGTCGATCCCGCCGACACAGACGGCGGCGGCGGCGGGCGGCGGCGCGAGTCGTTTTCGTCTCTAGCGCCGCTGCTGCAGCTGGAGGAGAGGCGGGGGGAGCCTGTGGATAAAGTCCTGCTCAAGTATTCAGTCTCAGACACAGGAATCGGAATCTCCAAGGACGTGCAAGGGAGCTTGTTCCAGGCATTCACACAGGTATGGTACGGGAGGGGGGAAGAGGGAGGGAGGAGCGTGCTCGCGTGTGCTATAGGTGCAGCTGGAGGAGAAGCGGGGCGAGCCTGTGGATAAGGTCCTAAGTATTCAGTTTCGGATACTGGTATTGGGATTTCCAAGGATGTCCAAGGGAGCTTGTTTCAGGCATTCACACATGTAAGGAGGAGTAAGGTGAGGGGGCATGCACTCGGGGGGGAGGGGGAAGGGAACGACAAAGCTTGCATGCACGGTAGGTGCAGCTGGGGGAGAGGCAGGGAGAGCTGGATACAGGCACCAATTTTTTTCCCCTCCCCCCTCGCCAGATGAATGGTGAGTGCAAGAATGAGACGTAACACCACTCCTCTCCCCACCACCTGCCCTTTTCCACTCCACTCGTCTTCCCTCCCCCTGTTTACCAGGCGGACAACACCACGTGTCGTAGGTTTGGCGGCACAGGGCTGGGGCTGGCGATATGCAAGGCTCTGGTGAACCTGATGGGGGGCGAGATCTCTGTGACCAGTGTGGAGGGACATGGCTCCACCTTTGAGTTCACCGTCTGTGCGGGAGTGAGTGAGGACGTGGGCCAGTGTGGGTCAGTGAGTGAGGAGGGAGAAGGGGAGGAGGAGGATGAGGGAGCGTATGATAGTGTGTATGATAGCGAGGAGGAGGAGGGATTGGGAGAGACGGATGAGGAGGAGTGTGAGGTGGAGGACGAGGAGGGGGAGGAGGAGAGTGATGCTGATGGCGATTCAGATTCGGAAGGTGAGGAAGCTCGGAACCACGCTCGCTTACGGACCACCCGAACCTCCCTGGATTACCGAGCCTTGACTGTCCGAGGCTCGTTAGGACTCACGGTCCGCAGCCAAACCGCTGACCCAGTGTTGGGTGCAGGTTCGCGACCACCGGCCCTCGCCAGACCAGCCACAGGTTCGGAAAAGAGCAGCAGCAAGAAGAAGTCTACTGGTGCAAATAAGGGAGGAGCCCGAGCCTCATCAGGCTCGGGCCGAACGTCTAGCCGAGGTATGGCAAGCGCCGGACCGTTTTCCCCCACCACAATCGCCCAGGCCAACGCTTCTGGTGCGTACAGAAGTGCCAAAGCCCCTACCGGAGCTGCAGGTTCGGCAACTAGCTCCGGAAACACGAGCGGCCGAAGCCTGGCCGCTGGGCGGCGTCGTTCGTTTGAAGAGTCGGCTCCGGTGCTGCCGGCTGTAGCGCGGCAGTGGAGAGTGCTTGTAGCAGAAGACAACAAAGTGAACCAGTTAGTGGTAACCCGCATGCTCAAGAATCTAGGGCTCAGATTCGACATCGTGGATAATGGATTGCAAGCTTTGGAAGCTTGTCTCAAGATAAGATATGATTTGGTTCTGATGGACTGCCATATGCCGGAGATGGATGGGTTGGAGGCTACTAGGAGGATCAGACAGGCGGAAGCAGAGAGGAGCTGTAGGAGCGAGGGGGATAGCCGGAGTGACTGTAGCGATGGTGAGAGTAGCGAGAGGCGGAGGAGGGAAGGTGGGGGAGCGGTTGCTGCTGCTGCAATGGCTGGTGATGCTGAGTTGAATAAGGGTGGGGAAAACAACAGGAGTAGTGGTGGTACTGGTGGCACTGGTGCCGGTATGAGCAGGAGTAGCAGTTCTTGGCAGGCAGCTGCTGCAGCAGCAGCAGTGGCAGCAGTGGCAGGGGGAGGAGGTGAAGCCAACAGCAGAGGGACCAGCAACATCAGTGGCAACAGCAGCAGCAATGCAGGTGCATTTGCGAGTGCTGCTGGGCTGAGCCGGCGGAACAGCGGAAGAGGCAGCGGTAGATTTAGAGTGATCGAGAACGGTAAGGATGGAGGGCTGAGCGAGCAGCAGGAAGGAGAGCAGCAGGAGGGGGAGCAGCCGCCGGTGGTGATAGCGGCGCTGACAGCGAGTGCGTTTGACTTTGAAAGAGAGGCGTGCTTTGCTGCGGGCATGAACCACTTTCTAACCAAACCCATCCGCCCCAAAGACCTGCAGCAGCTGCTGCTCTCCCTCGCCATTTCCTCTTGATGCTCTGCACAATTTGAAACTCAGGGAAAAGGGGGTGAAGCAGCAGGAGGGGGACAGCAGGAGGGGGAGCAGGGGTTGGGGGAGCAGCAGGAGGGGGACAGCAGGAGGGGGAGCAGCAGGGGGGGGACAGCAGGAGGGGGAGCAGCAGGAGGGGGAGCAGAGGTGTGCTTTGCTGCGGGCATGGACCACTTCCTCACCAAACCCATCCGCCCCAAGGACCTGCAGCAGCTCCTGCTCTCCCTCGCCACTTCCCCGCCAAAGGCATGAGCTGGTCGCGTGAGATATGGGCCTGTTTTTTTTGGAACGAGCGGGCATTCGCAATCTTGTTTCTCCATGGTGCACACTTTTGGGTCGACTGAAAAGTCCATCTCTTTTTTAAGGTCTGTGCATCGTGCCAACCCAGGCAAAATCCCTTGCTCTGCTCGTCACGTCACACACGCCTGCGTGACACGTGGCGTGCTTTCAGACTAGTTTTCCCATGCCATGCCACATGGCGTTCGTGCCATGTGGCGTTTTTTATGGCCACTCTCCCACGATACACTGGTGGTGATTGGCTGGCGCGTTATAATGTGGGTGGCATGGTGTAGAGCTCCTACTGAATGATGCGTGCGGGAGCAACTGTAGCACCACTCAGCAATAGTAGCAGGGCAGCGCAGAAGCAAAGCAGTAGACGTGCGTTTTTAAACAGCAACTAGACTAGCAAGCCCAGGTGTTGTAGGGACAGTAGTGGTAGTGGAGATGTTTAGTTAGTGTGCTGCTCGGTTTTGTAGGTAAGATGTGTGCAAAGGTGTTTTAACTTGTGTTTTTGTGTGCATGCTGCATGCACTTGGCTGTTTGAGAATTATTTTTAGTTTACTTGATTTGTCCAATCATGTCAGCCTTGGAAGTTGATATGTCTGGATTGGATTGTTGATTTGTGCCTATTTCTGTTGAAGTTTGTGCATAGCGGTTCTCAGAGTTTGACATGTGGTGTAGTTAATTCCTCTGACGCGACTTGACTGCTGTCAGAGACGCTTGTACCTTTTCGCGCGCGATTTGCAGCAGTCGGACCGCGTACTGTTTCCGTTTCTGCGAACCTGTCCGCCTGAATCCGCTGCGCGTCCATGTTGCTGCACTGAATTCTGCATCCAACGGGAACGACGACTTCCGTCTGTCGCCGTCATCGCTGTGTTTTGACACTCATAACCAGCTCGCGCCGCGTTTGTCTCATCTGGCACTCCATTCGAGATGCACTCCTTCCCATGCTTTCATACCGTACTAAACCATACCACAGCACGCTAATTCTCCCTTGGAGTTGTCCTCTACTCGCCAGATCCTATGATGTCCAGGGAACATGACGGTGATGCTTCATCTGTTCTCTGATCGTCTGCTTTTCGACCCATTCATGTGTTAGGAGCTTGCATATCTTCGATTATCACAGCACCAGACCACCTCGCCTTTTCATACACAATAGGACCGCGTTCTTTCATCAACTTTATTGAACAAAGTGCATAGCTGCTTGTCGTGACTTAGGTGAGCTAACGATATGTGCTTCGTAAACCCTTGACCAATAGAAGCTTGACGAGCTGCCTATGCCACAACGAGGCTCTTGGACCCTTAACTGGAAAGTTTCTCTGGTCAGGAACCGATCGAAACCCTCTGCTATCATGTCGTCATACCGATATCATTCACATCAGTCACTCTCACGATATCAACAAAAAACAAATCCGTCTCTCTTCGCAGTAACAGTAGTGTTCTTAGTGCTCACCTTCTCGCCTGTTAGTTTAGCCACCGGAAATGTAGGTAGCAGATCGAAGTCGGTTTCGGAGTGCTTCACTGGCTACGAAAAAGGATCGAGTCATGGCCGACTGGATCACGTTAAGGTGTTCGGTCCTGGCGTCAAGCCATCCGTGAAGCTCAACCAGCAACTCTGTTTCAACATCGCTGCAGAGGTACACTACTTCTTCAACTTAATGCTTGTTACTGCCAATTCGATTCAGATCACAAATGTTCGTCAGCGTATTGATCATCATGGAAGTTCCTTACATGAAGGTTGAACGCCATTTCATGGAATCCGTTATTTTTTCAGCATCAGTCAAATCCTGGGCTGGTACTCAGCCAGCATCTCTATTATCGTGACACTTCCTTACACGTGATTACTAGTGATGATGCATCATAGCATTTCGTTATTGTCTGACCTACTGGAACCAAATTCATCCAGCTATTGTCACGTCAGGCAAACTCGACGTGAACATTCTCACGTCTAAGACGCGTAAACAGCTTCGAAGCCCACTCGCTCCGCACGTTTTTTTGTATTAGCGAAATTCCACTCTTTCTGATCCAGAAAAAACATCCCTCACCTTCTGTCTCTCTATAACTGTAGGATTCAGAGGGCCGTCGGCTGGACAAGGGGTGCTCGCCGCCGACCAGCACGTGGGAGGTGCTCCTTCACTCCGCGGACAGCCGAATCCGCCTCAGCGCGCCCATCACGCATGCCGCAAACGAGGGGTACCACGTGGTGCGTGTGTGCTGGCCGGGTTTTGGGTCCGGTCATGGTATGCTGTGTCCCCCACATATTTAGTCAAATAAATAGTCACCACCTTGTTTTAGGACCTATCATGGCATGTTCTAGTTCCGCACGTGGGATGACAGAGACTTTGATCTGACTTTGATCAGACTTTGATCTGTTCGTAGTCTGACTTGCACCGTCTGACATACAGTCTGACCTACAGCCCGTTTGGGCTCAAAATCCCTGCACGTCCTCACTCCCTCCTGTGCCACCAGTCGTACTACCGTCTATTGGAGCCAGGCGAGTACGTGGTGTCCGTGTACCTCACGGGCGTGCATGCCTCCTCACTCACTTCCACCCGTCGTTCCTCCCACCCTATTCCCTTTGCCCACCACCAGTCATGCTACCGGCTGCTGGAGCCAGGCGAGTACGTGCTTTCTGTGTACCTCACGGGCGTGCATGCCGCCTCGCTGACGGGCAGCAGGGACGAGGAAAAGGCTCTGAGGCACCTCAAGTTCCAGCTCGTCGGCCAGTACAACGTGTCTGCGCAGGTAGGAGGTGTGATGGTCTTTGCACAAGTGGACGGTATGGTGTTGCGTGCCCATGTAGAGGGCTTCTTTAGACCCTTCAAACGACGAGGAGAAGGCCCTGAGGCACCTCAATTTCCAGCTAGTCGGCCAGTACAACGTGTCTGCAGGTAGGGGGTGATTTCGAGTTGACACAAAGGATGTATAAACACGATTACGCTCGCCTGCATGCGTCATCTGCCAGCTTTCAGCGCGCAGGTGCTGGAGGAATCGTCTGAAAGAACATTAGTATTTTCCGCTATGTGTGCGTGCAGCCACCAGAGCCAGAGGCATACAAGGAGCAGTACGCTCGCCTGCAGGGCACTGCCAGCCTGCACGGCACAGGTGCTGGAGGAATCAATTCAAAGCGAACTTGCTTTTCCCTTCGTGTGTGCATGCAGCCACCAGAGCCAGAGGCGTACAAGGAGCAGTACGCTCGCCGTTTATTTACCATGCTGCACCGTGGTTGAGTCAAGTAATGGAACACTTTTTTTCCCCGTTGTATATTCATGCAGCCATCAGACCCAGGGGCGTATAAGAAGGAGTATGCGCGGCTGCAGGCGGCGCTACCAGCCTGCACGGCACAGGTGCTGGAGGAATCGGGGAACGCAGGGCGGTGGATTGACCAGCAGTGGTACCCCTGCGCCTGCAATGTTCAACGGATCACCCCAGGGTAAGACTCGCTTAGATGAAGCTCGCTACGAGGATTCGCAAAACATGGGCTCGCAGGTTTTGTACCCGTATATTTTTTAGTGCCCGATGTCAAGCCTCGATGGCGCAGTCGGTAGCGCGTAGGTCTCATAGCATTCCGACTCTCACTCTGCTGGGCGGAGCCATCCTAAGGTCGTGAGTTCGATCCTCACTCGGGGCAAAGTTTTGCCTGGCAAGTAAAAAACAGAAATGTAGTTTCTGGACGTCTCTGGCCAACCCTTGTTGTTATTATTACATCTACTCCAGAACAATTCACCCGCGCAGGCTACATGCCAGGTGAAACCGCCATAGAACACAGCTTGCACATTAGTTAGGGTGTGCTTAAAGTGGTGATTTCCTTATGCCTCACCAAACGAATCACTCCCAGGTAACAGTGGCACGTTTCTGCTAGTGGTGAGGGAAAGTTTGTAGAGGCACGTGTTTGCTAGTGGAATGGGAAAGTTTGTAGTAGCTTCTCTTCTCCCCCGCCACACTCATTCAGCCAAGTCGCTCATATAAAAGAAATTCATCTTCACTCTGTTGTGTCTCTCAACAACAATACCCTGCTCCACCCACCCTGGTCGTGGTGGGACCACCAGTGCCTGCTTCAGTGATTCTTTAAAGCAGGCATCGACCACACAAATCACTCCCTGGTACAGTGGCATGTGTCTGCTAGTGGTGGGCGTATCCAGATAGGAGGGCTGGCCAATAGAGGAACAGCCTGAAGGGTAAGCGACTGCTGGTGGTGGGAGACAGCCTGCAGTGGATGCTCTTATTGCTTACGGCCAATCCATCGACCCACTCCGCTTGTCCCCTCCCCCGTCTCCTTCCCCCTCTTTCCTCCCATGCTTACCAGTGCTGCACGCGCGTGCTTGAAGGGCAAGCGGATGCTGGTGGTGGGGGACAGCCAGCAGTGGGTGCTCTTCTCGCACCTGCTCTCCTTCCTCTCCTCCTCCTCCCGTTGCCGCCTCCTCCAAGGCCTGGGCGACCGCCACTCCTCCCTGGTTCGCCTCAGATGTGACAAGGTGAGTGCTGGGCTGAAGCGCGGGAAGAGAAGACAAGGGACAGAGAAGCCATCTCCCACCTGCTCGCCTTCCTCTCCTCCTCCTCCCGCTGCCTCCTCTTGCAAGGCCTGGGCGACCGCCACTCCTCCCTGGTTCGCCTCAGATGTGACAAGGTGAGTGCTGGGCTGAAGCGCGGGAAGAGAAGACAAGGGACAGAAAAGCCGCCCCTCACCTGCTCTCCTTCCACTACTCCTCCTCCCGCTGCCTCCCGCTGCCTCCTCCTGCAAGGCCTGGGCGACCGTCGCCCCTCCCTGGTTCGTCTTCACTGTGAGGAAGTGAGTGGTGGGTGGGAGGGAGGGGCGTGCTGGGTTTAAGTGAATGTTGTGTTGCGTTGAAGGGAAGATGTCTCTTACCAGCTGCCCTGCGTCTCCTCTCCTGCAAGGCCTGGGCAACCGCCGAACCTCCCTTGTTCGCCTCAGATGTGACAAGGTGCGTGCTGGGCTGGAGGCCTTAGTATTCATATTTGAAATGTGCACCTTGATATTCTTTTCTTGTTTGTGGGCTTCTGAACCGGCCCATGGACCTTCTGAACCGGCTCATGGACCTTCTGAACCGGCTCATGGACCTTCTGAGCCGGCTTATGGACCTTCTGAGCCGGCTCATGGACCTTCTGAACCGGCTCATGGACCTTCTGAACCGGCTCATGGACCTTCTGAACCGGCTCATGGACCTTCTGAACCGGCTCATGGATTGCAAGCTGTGTGGTCTCCTCCTTTTCTCTCCATGCACTCTGAATCCCACCAAGCGCACATGCAGGGCCCTGTGCTGTGGGTATCGGGGTCAGAGGGGCAGCACGTTCAGTGCACCACACGTACTTCGCCCTTACTCTTGTTGCCACCAACCAACTCAAAAAGGGACTCATGGATTGTATTATCTATGTCCCCTCTTGTTCTCTCCACACTCTGAATCCCTCCAGGCGCACATGCAGGGCCCTGTCCCGTGGGTGCCGGGGTCAGAGGGGCAGCACGTGGCAGTGCACCACACGTACTTCGCCCCTGCTGTTTCCGCCACCTACTATGGCGCAGAGGGCAACGGATTCGCTGTTGCAAGGTAGGCTGATGGCTACTGCGCTCATTACTGTGCTGCTGCCGTGCCATCTCTCCTGTCTTGTGCACCACACCCGCTTCGCCCCTGCTGTTTCCGACTATGGTTCAGAGGGCAACGGATTCGCTGTTACAAGGTAGGCTGGTGGTTATTGCACTTGTTACTGTATTCAGCGGGCTACTATGCAACCAGGGGATTTTCAAGGGTTCACAAAAATACTCCACCCACTTTTCTTACTACCACCCTGTCCCCCTGGTGCCTAAATCTGAACAGAAAAATATTCCAACAGATGCTTCTGCATGACCAGGTCAATCTCCCTACCTGTCGGACCTCTCATTCCCTGCCTTACCTACTCTCCCATTGCCCCAATCCCCTCTTTCACCACCCTATGCTCCTGGTGCCTCGGTTTAATAAAAAACCCAGTGGATGCTTCAGCAGCACCAGGTCAACGTCTGTAGCTGCTGTACCTCTCAACCCCTGCCTTACCTGCTCTCCCATCCCCCAACCCCCCTTTTTCACCATCGTGCAATCCTGGTGCCTCGACTCCAAGCAGAATCCCCATGGATCTCAACACGACCACAGCAGATTCAGCTTCTCTCAGAGAGAGGAAGCGCAGGCGGGTCCAGGAAGAAGAACACTCTGCAAGCGGTGCCGGTACGACAAGTAGCAGCAGCAGCAGCAGGAGGAGGAGGAGGAGCGGGGACAGAAGCCAAGGAGGAGCGGAGCAGTATGATTCGTTGGAGGGCCAGGATGTGCTCGACATGTCAGCTACAGACGAGGACCCTCGGGATCTCCGCACAGCGAGCAGGATTCGGGAGGAGGAGCAGGAGAGGGAGCGGCAGCGGGCGGCAGATACCGACCAGATTGTGGCGGTGTTTGTGGCGCACTCAAACGCGTCAGAGCCGCTGTACAGGGATTGGATGGTGAACCACATGCGGCGCGGCCCATTGGCCAATGAGCATGCGCCGTTTGACTTTGTCCTGGCGTCCAGCGGGCTGCATGACCTGGCGGCGTTTGATTCGCCGGAGGAATACGCCGCCGCTCTCGGTAAGCTGTCCCTGGCCTGAAATGTGAGACTCGGCTGAGGTAGGGGAACGTCCAAAAGCTGTCCCTGGTAATTCTTGTGATCAGGAACATGCACCATGCACAAAGGCTTGGTTCAGCATGTAGTTCGCACATTTCAGAGTTTTTCTGCATACAAGGGAACCTGGATGCTTTGACTAAAAGTCGTACAACATGGACCATTTTTCTGGTCATTCCACCGTCCATGGGGCATACCATGTGTTCATTCCTTACACATTCGTGCCCTTTCTCTCTGCAGATCGGGAGTTTGCGGCGACGGTGCGCTTTGCTGTGAATGAGATGGCTTTCAAATCGACTTAAAATTCAATGATTTTTTTGCTGTCTCACTGTGTTTGTGCCCTTTTCTCTCCGCAGATCGGGAGTTTGTGGCATCGGTGCGCTTTGCTGTGAATGGCGGCATGGGAGGGCCAGGCTCAGCAGTGGTGTGGCTGGGGCCATGGGCGGTGCAACAGTCAGCAGTTGCTCCTGACCTGTTGCCTTCCATGAACCACCCTCGCCTCTCTGCTTTCGACGCCGCTGCCCACAGGTTAGCACCTGGGTGCTTTTTTGGTGCCAGCTACCTCTTGCATTCCCTGACAGGCAACTTCCTTCCAAGAAAATCATACCTGCCTTTTTGTGAACGGCATTGTGATCCCTCTTGTTTCCCTGTTGACATGTACAGCCTGATCAATTCGTGGAAGGTTCCGTTCATCTCAACCATACCCATGACACTCTCAAGGCCGGACCTATCAAAGGATGGGACACATTATTCTTGGCCTGTATCCATGGCCATGTTGGAGCTATGGCTTGGCTCTGTGTGCCCTGTGCAGCCTACCATAAAGGACTGTTAGTAATTTCGATACCTATTGCTTCGAATTTCTCATAATATCAATGTTAACAATATAATACATCTTATATGCCTGTACAGATTCAGCTCGTTAAATCTGCGTCGTGTATTGCAATGAGTCTACAAAGCAGCACGCCATCATAATAACTGAGATGAGATGGTGTGATTATATGTCGGTCCATAACGCATAATCACTGAGCAAAGTTTCACGTCTTTTAGGCTTACCACTGATCGCGCCATAACGAGTATCAGTGAATTGAGGACGTGTCTCATGTGAGCAGTCCGTCGGACCTGGTCCACGACCGAAATCGAAACACTTGGTCCGGAAATCTGGTCCGACGGACCCAATTGGCGGACCAGCCGTGGACCAGGCACGGACTGGTCTGCCTAATACGTGGCGTCTCGGGCTGTACAGTATTTGCGACTTGAAACAGTAGCGACGAAAATTTGAAATGCTGAAATCGAGTTACCCTTTCACTTTGTCGAGCTAAAAGTCTCCATACAATCGTGCGCGAAAGATTCGCAAACGATTTTTTAGTACTGAGAGATTTCGCAAACGATTTTTGACCTTCTACTTGTTTACGGACCAGGCGCGGGTTGGCCCGGAGACCAAATGAATGGTACTGTTGTCGTACCATTCGAATTGAATAAGGGGGTTACAAGCCCCGCATCCTGATCCCAGTCCGCCGCTGGTTCAGCTCTGGTTCTCGAGCTGGTCCGCCAGGTCCGTGCTGGACCCACGTGGAAATAGGCATTTGGGACACCCAGCATGCATGATACCGAGCCAGCTGTTGCAGCGAGGGTGCTAGTGAAAATCAAAATGGGGTTCTGCGGTTTTTTTCTGTGGTTCGGTTCGGTGACTGCTAGGCCCAGTGCTTCTCACTCCATCCATCTCACCAGGTTCCACCATGGCTTCTGTGCTGTGCGTCTATTCACGCACTAGATTAGTGGTTTACCTGAAGCTCGCATCTTAGAGAATTGTCGTAAAACATCTAGCCTCCGGTCAGCGTATTGGGTGGGCCCGACTGGTTGTAGCAGTTGCTTGTTCCGCCGTTTTCCCTCGTGAACCTGTGCGTCATCTCGCGACGGGTTCTGCTGTTCCTTCTCTTGTCGCCGCGATCAGCGCTCGCGTATTGAGAGCTTGCTGGCTTCATTGTTTCGCGTTGGGACGCTGCTTTTCCTCCCTTCGCTGCTTGCGTTCTCCTCGGTGCTTCCGAGCAGTAACTTCTAAAGAAGTCTGATAGGGAATACGTCGCTGGAGTGGGGCAATTGTAACCTGCTCTTTAGCGTCACCCCTCAGACGTTTCAGAACTTACTACCGGGTCTTTTCTCCCAATTTTTGCCACCGGTTAGGAGTTTCCTCGGCAGCCATGTCGTCCCTTCTCGCGAACCTCCCGTCTCGCGGCAATTTCTCCGCGGCGGCGTGCACGCTCTCCTCGTCAATCCCGGTGTACATCTGCGACCACGACACGTCTCCGCCGTCCGATCAGATCATCACCACCGATCCGACGAACATCCTGCTTCGCGCGCTCACCATGAAGAAGACGCGCGACGCGGAAGCGGCGAAAGCGGCGCAAGACAAGGTGAAGAAGATAGCTTCTGGTGCTTCTGGTGCCTCTGCTGCTGGTACCGGTGCTGCTGGTATTTCTGGTTCTGCTGCTGCTGGTACTGGTGCTGCTGGTGCTGCTGCATCAGCTCATGACACTAGATCACGGCAATCCGACCTGCAAGATAAAGGCAAGAGGCCTGCCACCGGGGATCCCGGTCAGGACGACGCAATTGGCTCGTCTAGACCCGGCGGGAGACCCGCGAAACGAGGCCCGGGCGTGGGGAGCAGCGGCGGCGGTGGCGGAATGGAGCAGGATCGGGAAGCGGGGAGGACTATAAGGGGGATGACGAGCGAGCGGGATGTGGATGGGCTGACTGTTGAGAGGCTGAGAGCGTGTTTGAAGGAAAAGGGGCTGTCGATCAGAGGGAGGAAGGAGGAGTTGGTTGCCAGGCTGAAGCTGGTTCTGGGGTTGAACTCTAATTAGTGGAGAAGGGGTTGTGGACGGGTTGACTGTTGAGAGGTTGACGTGTTTGAAGGAGAAGGGGTTGTCGATCAGAGGGAGAAAGGAGGAGCTAGTGACCAGGCTGAAGGTGGCTCTGGGGTTGAATTCCAGTTAGGGGCCTAAGCCCTGAACCTGTCACATGATCGGTACCGGTAGTAATCCACTTGGAATCAGTGGACACATGCCATCCACCATAATTTGGCCTGGTATGGTGTGTTAGAGTAATGCAGTTGTGGTATTTGTTGCGGAGAGTGGTAGGTAGGTAGGTATGTTTACATAGGAAGGCTCTTTTGTCGTCCTGTCCTGTGTGCTTGTATCATGCTTCTTTTCTTCTGCAAGCTAGCAAAACGCTTGTGAAAGACTGTTTGAAATGGATGTTCCAAATTCCAACCTCTGCAACAATTGCACTTGATTGGTTGAATTGACGCCAACCTCAGCAATGCTGGTGCTGGTGTCCATTTCCCTGCTGAACTGAGCTCACCTGGAACTACTGCATAGGTACCGACCGTAGGTACAGTACGGTATGCTGCCACATCAGCATTGTCAAACTGTTATAATGTTTATATTGTATAGACTGTAGTGGGGTAGCCCATAAGAGGTACAACCCAATTAGGGTTAGCACTTGTACAAACTTTCTTCTCAATGCAATCATTCTCGTTCAGTATTCTAACATGGTTTCAGAGCGGGTCCTGTTCCAGAGCCGTTTTTTTAGGGCCCACCAAATAGTTCCCTGCCCGTAGCGCGTTACCCTGCCCGTAGCGCCCTACCCTGCCCGTCGCGCTGCCCCACTAGTTGCGCTGCCCTGCCCTGCCCGTCGCGCTGCCCCACTAGTTGCGCTGCCCTGCCCTGCCCGTCGCGCCGCCCTGCTGGCCGCGCGCCGCCCTACTAACTGCCGCGCCGCCCTGCCCTGCCTGTCGCGCCGCCCTGCCCTGCCTGTCGCGCCGCCCTGCTGGCCGCCGCGCCGCCCTGCCCTGCCCGCGCGCCGCCCTGCTGGCTGTCGCGCAGCCCTGCTGGCCACCGCGCCGCCCTTTGCAGCCCGCGCGCCGCCCTTTGCAGCCCGCTCGCCGCCCCTTTCCTGCCTGCGCGCCGCCCTACTCGCTGCGTGCCGCCGTTCCTGCCCGCGCGCCGCCCTGCCCTGCCCGCGCGCCGCCCTGCAGCCTGCCCGCGCGCCGCCCTACTCGCTGCGTGCCGCCGTTCCTGCCCGCGCGCCGCCCTGCTAGCCGCCGCGCCGCCCTGCTGGCCGCCGTGCCGCCCTTTGCAGCCCGCGCGCAGCCCTGCTGGCCGCGCGCCGCCCCTTTCCTGCCTGCGTGCCGCCCTACTCGCTGCGTGCCGCCGTTCCTGCCCGCGCGCCGCCCTGCAGCCTGCCCGCGCGCCGCCCTGCTGGCCACAGTGCTGCCCTGCCCTGCCCTACGCGCCGCCCTGTCTTGGCCGTGCGCAGCCCTGCCCTGCCCTGAGCGTTTTCCTAGTGCACGCGCGCCGCCCTGCTCGTCACGCGCCACCCTGCTCTGCCCGCTATGGCTACTCTCAGCGTTCTCACATTCGATCATGAGGGCCGTCCGATCCAACTCGATACGTGGCTTGACGACTTACAGCTTTACCTACTGAGCGATTCTAGAGACAGCGTTTCGTTGTTTGACCACACATATGGAGCCTCTCCCGCCCCTCCCGACACAGCTGATAGTGCGACTCGCTCACAGTGGCTTACCCGTGACGCTGCTGCTCGCTTAGCCGTTCGCAACCACCTGCCGTTAGCCGAACGCGCTCACTTTGGCCAGCACAAGACTGCTAAAGCCCTGTACGACGCTGTAGTCGCTCGTTACTCTTCCCGTGCCACAGTTGCTCTCGGCCGCCTTATACTGCCCTACCTTTTTCCCGAGCTGTCAGCCTTTGCCACAGTCGAAACTCATCACCCACCTTTGCACTAGCAACACTCGCTACCGCGCTGTCCTCAAAGCCGAGTTCCTAGACAAGAACCCGCCCACGATGTACATCACTCTCTACTTCATAGTCACCCGCCTCCCTAACTCACTTCGCGCAGTCAGGGACCACTTTCTCGCACTTGACCCCACAGACCTCACTGACGACATGCTCGAGAAGCACCTCCTTGCAGGTGAGACTAGCATAGTCGCTGTAGGTGCTGCTTGTGGCACTCCTCGCACACCCTTCTTTGAGGGGTGTTCCCCCTCCCCCCTTGCCCCCTCCTACGCTTCTGCTGTTGCTGTTGACAACCTTGGTACTGAGGACGTCGGGGCTGCTTCTGCTCTTAGTGGGAAGCGCCGCAGCGGCAAGGGCAAGGGAGGCAAGAGTGGTGGAGGTGGCAGCGGGGGTGGTGGTGGTGGAGGCAGTGGAGGCGGTGGAGATGACGGAGGTGGCGGTGGGAGTGGTGGCGGGAGTGGGGGCTTCGGTGGCGGCGGTGGTGGCAGCGGTGGGAGTGGTGGTGGCGGTGGTGGCGGTGGTGGCGGCAGTGGGACTGGTGGCGGCGGCAGTGGTGGCGGTCGGGGTGGAGCTGTTCAGGGGGGAGAATCTGGCGGTGGCCAGAGGCGGCAGCAGCAGCAGCGTCGGAGCGAGACCCCTACGCCCCAGCAGCTTCGTATAGAGGCTGCTGCTCTAGGTGCTAGTGAGTCTGCTCTCCCTGGTATTGCGCCTGCTAATGGCTTGCACACCTTCATGCTTGACTCAGGTGCTTCGCGCTGTTTCTTTCGCGACAGTACCATACTCACTCCACTCCTTGCACCTGTTTCAGTCATACTGGCTGACCCCTCAGGGGGTCCAGTTCTTGCACATTCCACCACTGTTCTCCCGTGTCCGGCGGTTCCGTCTGGCTCACTGTCAGGTCTTCACCTCCCCTCATTCTCTACAAACTTGGTGATTACCGCTGCCCTCCTAGATGCGATGGTCACTACCACCACTACTGGGGGTCAGCGGGTGGCGATCTGCACGTGTACACGGATGG